AAAATTATAATGTTGTCTACCTCTCTGTGTGTTTGTTCCGGCTAATCTTCCATAACGGCTGGACTGATTTTGACGGGAATTTCATTGGCAGATAGCTGATGTTATAAGGGGTAACTTAGGCTACATTTATTTTTTTTAAAAGAATTAGGGTTCCGCTCAAAAAAATATAACGAAATTTTAAAAAAAACAACGCTAATAATAAATCCAAAAGGTGAGAAGCGGAGGTAAGTTGCTAATAAATAAATACGATTATAAAAGCAAGGTGATACCAGTCGAGGTCATATGACAAATACAGCGTTGAATACTTTATAAAATTAATTAAAAAATAATCATAAAATCTGTGCATAATTTGCGAAGATATCGTGTAAAAACAAAAACATACATATACTTACTTTAAACTTACTACACTTATTTTGATGTCGGTCAAAAAGGTTTTTAATATTGACATGTTAGCGACAATCGAAGCGAAATAAAGAGAAAAAGATTGAATAAATATACATTTTTAGTACAGTTTCGTGTTATTTAAAAGACCTCGTATTCGACAGAGTGATGTGCAAAAACATAAAGCAAAAAAAACGTATTTATAAACTATGAAAAGTATATAAAGCCAAGTATTTGTATGTGTGTTTATATATTTGTATTCATATCTTCTTTATTATTGTCCCACTGCTGGGGGTGGGGCTCCCTTCAGCACAAGGGGGATCAAGCCATAGTCCACCACGCTGGCCAAGTGCGGGCGGACGAGCATGTCTTTCGAAAACTTTCTAGGTTCTCTCAGACATGCAGGTTTCCTGACGATGTTTTCACATGAAACTATCAGAGGTGCAAGACCCGGGATTTGAACCCGCGTCACTCGATTCCCCAAACGAGCGTGTTACCATTGAACTACCACTGCAATAGGCTTATATATTTACTAGTTGTATTTTATACTAGCATTTCACCCTCGCTTTGCTCGGGTTCGCCCCTGGCTTGCTTCCCAAAACAAACTTTCATCCCCATTTTCACCCCTTTAATGGATGATTTCCGGGATAAAAAGTATCATATGTCCTTCCCAGGATCTCAAACTATCTTCTTACCAAATTTCATCGAAATCGGCTAAGTAGATCCAGAGATTACACCTATACCCTGTATATAACCTCACAAACTCACAAACTTTACCTCTTTATAATATTAAGTATAATTGATTGTATCCGCTTTGTTCCAATAAAAAGCAGTTTTTTAATATGAATGAATATTCTCAAATATCAATTTGAGAATAATTTTATCGCAAACTAATAATTCATTTATTATCGTCGATTAAACCGTTCATCAATTATTGGCTTGAATCAAATAAGTAAAATATATCATCTATCTTAACTTAAAAGATCTAACCAGAAGTTATACGACCATACGCTTATAATATTTATTATATTTGACTTTAGATTTGTTATTGAAGATTTTGATTTGGGCTTAAAAATTATTTTCAATTTAAATAAAACTTTTTCAGTTTTTTTCTCGGATTTATTTTGATTTTTGGTTCCGGCAGTTTTGAATGATTTACAGCAATCATGGTCACGGGAGTCTCTCCCTCCGTCTCAAAAATATAAAAATATAGTTTTATTTAAAACATAAACAGATATATTTTTCATTATTAAAGTAAAAACAAACTCCGACTGCATACAGAGCGTACTCAAATGATGAAAATAAGTTGACAAAGAAAGTTTTATACTATTATGCAGTCGGAGACTTTCACCCTGCGAGATATGTATTATTTATTCTACCCGATAGGTTTGTCTATGACACTCACGTTATCAAGACGAATCTAACGACGTATGAATCATCAAAATCGGTTAAGCCGTTTAGTATTCACGAGAGAATATATATACTCGTACATACATACTTACATTCATACATACATTCAGGTCAAACACATAACCCTCCTTTGGACTTCGCAGTCGGGTTAAAAATAAGACTTTAATCGAAAACGTCTCAGACAAATGACTTTTATACATAACTAGCATTGCCCGCAGCTTCGCCCACGTTCAGATGACCAAAATCCAAATGCTTACTCGTAGGTTTTACATATTAGTATACTCTTACAATACAGTTTTTGTATTTTTTTCCAAAAATGAGATATTTTCCCGCGGTAAAAAGTATCCTATATGTTGATCCGGATAACCAGCTATCACTATACTAAATTTCATCAAAATCCTTCCAGTGGTTTTTCTGTGATGCGGTAACAGACAGACAGACAGACAGACAATAATTCTAAAAACTATAGATTCGGCCTCTGTATCGATAATAATATTTATTTCAATAAGATTTTCCAAAATATATTTAATGTACAGATTCGGCTTAGACACAATTTTATTATAAGTATAGACTATACACGGTGGGTGTGGGTGTTGTAAATATCTATTTACCAGACACACAACCCTCCTTTGAACTTCGCAGTCGGGTTAAAAATTTAATCAAAAACGTCTCAGACAAATGTACTATCAAAAATAATTTAATCATTTCATACTTTTTGTTATAACGTACTTTATGACGTCAGTGGATATTCCCAAGATTAACTTTACGGGACTGTCGCGTGAAATTCCATAAGCAATACAACCACAATCGATTCCGGATGGTAAGAATACTGAGGACGAATAAAGGTGTGTCACACTAAATTATTTTCTTGCGATTCTTTATTCTTTGTGGAATCAAATAAAATAAAATCTAGCTGTTCATTGTGTGTTTTTTTTACTAATAAGAATTTATTGGGCATCAATGAAAGTAAATTGAATGTAAATATGATATCACTGCACCGATCGAGTGTCTAGATCGCGTATCTATGTTATTATGTTATTTAGACCTTTATATCATCCCACTGCTGGGGGTGGGCCTCCCTTCAATACGAGGGGTTCAGGCCATAGTCCACCACGCTGGCCAAGTGCGAGCGGACTGAGCATGTCTTTCGAAAACTTGCTAGGTTCTCTCAGATATACAAGTTTCCTCACGACTAAATGGTAATGATGTTAGAAATTATTCACACGTGAAAATATCAGAGGTGCGAGACCCGGGATTTGAACCCGCTTCACTCGGTACCCAAGCGAGCACGTTACCACTGGGCTACCACTGTTTTATAGTAGCCTATGCATTACTCCAGGTCATATTCTATCTGTATACTAACATTCAAATCTGCTCAGCCGTTTCTGTATAAAGGAGTAACAAACATACACACACAAAAAATGGCTTACCACTCAAAATCACCAGATGTTTTTAACGTGATTTAAATATTTTTTTATCTATCTCTTTTGTTCATACTAACATTATAAAGAGGTAATGTTTGTAAGTTTGTATATACGGCGTAATCTCCGTAACTACTGATCCGATACTAAACAGTCTATCACTTATAATAAGCCACATTACCGCCAAGTGTTGTTTTTGGCTATTTTTTGTTCTGATTGAAATATGTTTATTATCATGAACAATAATAACTTTAATTGAAGTCGGTAAAAAACTGGCGGACGATTTGCTTTATTGTTGTGCGTTATATATGTCGTAGGATGATTTGGTAATTAGAATTTTTGTGAAAACCCTAGGGATATTGCGAAATGAGTAGTATAGTTAGACAATGGTTAGGTAAGTTTTATTTTTTGTAGTACCTGGGCAACCGAGCTTCGCTCGGAGTTTTTGGCCAAAAGAAGTGTGTATTAAATTAAACCTTTATCGATTTATTTTATACTTTTTAGTTTTTGAAGTCGGTTTTTTTAAATGTACTTTTTTTATTATAATATCAATGTGTCGTGTACATTTTACATGTTTAAAGAACATGTTCTGTGGTTTGCCATTTAATTAAGAAATGTCTAGTTTATTTTTATTCCTTAATTAATTTCAACTTATCAAGTATTTCCTGATGCTAAAAGTTAGCAATACAAATTTTTATATATAACCATTTGTAAATACTGTATGTTAATAAAAATATTATTACTTTACTTAATAAAATGTTTAATATATATTACTAAATTAAATTATTTTTATACTAGCGCGTCACTCGCATCGCTCGGGTTCGCTTCTAGAAAAAAACAAATCTATCCCACGGGAACCGTACATTTTAACGGGATAAAAAGTAACCTATGTGCTATTTCAGACTATAATCTATCTCTGTGCCAAATTTCATCCAGATCCGTTCAGCCGTTCTGGCGATTGAGTAACAAACATACATTCAAACATCTAAGCATTCACATTTATAATATTAGTAAGATAAATTGTTTGATAATATTTATAAACTAGCGGCTTAACTTCGCTTCACTCGGATGATTCTCTGAGTGTTTTTTTTTGTATATTGTTATTGAAAATAAAAACTTAAAAAAAACCCACTTCCAGGCACTAAGATGTAAAAAATAACTAAACGGGGGTTTTCATTTAGAATATATACCTAATCAGATATTTTCGAAGTCGGTGCCAGCCGACGCATAGGAAATCTAATATATTTTGATACGTTAAATACATATTTAGCTATTAGATATTCATATCTGAAAATATTGTAGGCTATTATATAATGCGTCTGAAAAAAAATGGTATGAATTTGAACATATTTTTTCTTACCAATACCTTTACTAAACCTAACTTTTCTTATTTAAATTGTAGACCCGGAAATCATTCAAAATGTCCAATGATTTTACAAATTCTAGATATAAAATTGTATCTTTTATAGAATATTTTTAATTTAGACTTAATTTGTTTAGATGGCAAGCTCAAAAATAACTAAAATGCTACTAATATTACAAATGCGAAAGTCTGTGAGGAGGTCTGGATGTATAGATGTATGGGCGTTTGTTACTCTTTCACGCAAAAACTATTGAATGGATTTTAATGAAACTACAATAATATAAACTTACAAACTTTACCTCTTTATAATATTATACTCACGTTATCATATATATATATATATATATATATATATATATATATATATATATATATACATATATATATATAAGATTATATCACGTTGCACGCTATACTGACAACAGATGGACCAAGACCGTGACCATGTGGAGAGGACCTCATGGACACAGAAGCAGAGGGAGACCAAAGGCAAGGTGGAAGGACGAGATAGAGACCGTTGCAACACGCAATTGGTACAACCTCGCAAGGAATCGCGACAAGTGGCAATCTCTGTAGGAGGCCTTCACCCAGAGAGGGGTCCAGATGACATATATATCGGACTAACAATATCCACGCCTATTTATACGAATTTACGTGCCAATGGAATAATAAAGGCTTTTTTTTTAATATTAATAATATATTATTAATTTTTTTACGGAACACTAATTCTTTTACTGAAATAAAAGTAGCCTAAATTACTCCTCATAACATCAACTACCTGCCAGTGAAAGTCCCGTCAAAATCGGCCCAGACGTTTTGGAGATTAGCCAGAACAAACAGACAGACAGACAAAAATTTACTAAAATTGTGTTTTTATTATAAATACCGTATATAATTTCCATTTAGTAAAAAGATATTATTTTGACATTACAAACAGACACTTCAATTTTATTTATCTGTATAGATTATGTAGATATAGCACATGCAATAAAACATGGAAAGTAATGTATTTGTATGTATTGAGTCATGAAAATAATAATAAAAATGTTATTTTCAAATAGTTATTAACAGCATTAAAAGTTAAATTAAGTATGATTGGATATGACCGTAAGTATAAATGCTGTTATTTTGTAAAATGGCTATTTACAAAATAACGTGTTATATATATATATATATAATATTGATATATTGATATACATTTCCTAGGTTCTGCTCTCGACTTCACTCGGGTTTTTCTATCTATATACGAGTATAATCATAGGGATTTCTAAATCCATACTAATATTATAAATATGAAAGTTTGTGAGGATGGGTGGATGGATAATTATTACTCTTTCACGCCAGAACGACTGAACGGATCTGTATGAAATTTGGCATAGAGATAAATATGTTGGGATATTAACACACAGCATCTAGTTCCATGGTAAGCTACGAGGCTTGTGTTATGGATACCAGATAGTTGATACACTACACATATATCACTTTAAATACATACATATTATAATAATAAACACCCATGACTGGCGTACAAATATTCGAGCTCATCACACAAATGAATGCCCCAGCGGGACTCGAACCCGCGACCGCTGGCACAGCAAATAGGGTCACTACAAACTGAGCTGATATTTATTTACATAAAAGATAAGAAAATTGATGAATTAAATGTCGCAACATTTTTATGACTAATGTAAATAAATCTTTATGTAACATAATAACTAACCTCTTTTAATGTCATTTACATGGCCGGCTGTGACTTAAGTTGTTTACACACTGTTATAAATAAAAATTTCATATAATTATTCAATTATTTTATTAAACTTCCCTATATCAATATAATCGTTATTTATGTTAAAATGCTAATAACGGTTTTGTCGGTTTGCTGTTATAGTGCAAAAAAATGTATGTATGTATGTATGTATGTGTGTATGTTTGTTACTCCTTTACTCTGAAACGGCTGGACGGATTTAGATGAAATAAAGTACACAGATAGTCTATGAGCTGGAGTAACACCTTTTCTTCGTATCGATTATCGATTTTTTTTTATTTTGAAAATTGAAATAATATCTATATTAATATTATAAATGTGAAAGTTTGTTAGTATGGATGTTTGTTACTCTTTCACGACAGAACGGCTCTGGAAACGAATGATGAACGAACGAATCTGGATGAAATTTGGCACAGAGATAGATTATAGTCTGAAATAACACGTAAGTTACTTTTTATCCCGGAAAAATGTAGTCCCGTGGGATAGGTTTGTTTTTGTTTTTCTAGAGGCGAACCTAGATCTTAACAAATGATGGCTTCATATATGTATACCGGTACATAAAGTCATTCCCGTGGGCTATGTGATATTATTACCAAAGAAAAAGCGATATGTAGTTAGTCCCTAAATTAAACTGGACTTTAATCCTTCCTTATATTATCTTATATTATCCCTCTTTCTAACAGAAACAGAGTAAAATATTTTTATATTTTTACAGATGGAGTTTAGAAAAAGATATATATATATATATATATATATACTACACAAGGGAGCGGAGCAGTAATCATAAATGTCAACAAATTGGGCAGACTTCCATACATTATTGTAAAACTATATACATATATATATATATATATATATATATATATACAAAGGGACGAGCACGAGCGAAGCGAAGTTGAACCGCTAGTGTTATTTATTTCTATGCTAAGCTATAAAATAAAAAAATAAAACAACAAAAATTCAATATCAATGTAATTAAACGTGTGTAATTGGCCTTAATTATTGTAACACTTAATTAGTCATGACTTGATGAAATACATTGTTACAAAGATGCACCGACTTCAAAATCTTCTCGAAGTGTTTATATTCTTTTGAAATATTGGCATTTTTATTATACTCGTATACTAGCGGCTCACTCGCTTCGCTCGGGTTCGTCGCTAGGTAAGTTTTAAATAGATATAAATAGTTATTAGCCAGCGTTAGCCATACAAATTTTAATTTTTTTTTTTGTTAATAATATTGACAAATATTGACATTAATATTTATACGATACTAACGTCACTCAATTGTTTTGCCTTCCCGGAACCTCTCCGCTAACACTTAAACTTTATGTTATAGTATTAAAGTTCAAATTGACTTTTAAATATTATTACGAATCTTTTGTATGGGAGTATAGAAAAGTGTTGTTTTTAGTCTTTTTCCAGGCAATTTTTTAAATTTTTCTCTCCGTAAGAACCATCCTCGTACTTCGAGGAATATTCTAAAAAAAGAATTAGCGAAATCAGTTCAGCTGCTCTCGAGATTTGCGCTTACCAACACATTCGGCGATTCATTTTTATATTATAGATATGTATGTAGTGTTATTGGAACCACATCTGCGATAAAGCCTGTTCGTGATATGTTAAAAATAGCCATTATGCATTTTTTTATTATTAGCTTATAATTTTTCTTTATTTATAATTTCCTTTATTTTATTTATAATTTTCCGTGCCTCGGAGAGCACGTAAAGCCGTCGGTCCTGCGCCGACACTCTCACCGGTCGTGTCGAGCAGTCGTCCCACCGGAGTATGAGAGTGACAGGAATAGAGAGTGCACGTTGTGTCTGCGCGTACACGCGCTGCACTATAATATCTCCTGCAGTTGGCTAGTCTCAATGAGATTGGCCGCCGTGGCCGGAATCGGTATGTATATAGATACTTACTTTAAAAAATACATTTTCAAATGATAATAATATGTTGGGACATTAACACACATCACCATCTAGTTCCATGGTAAGCTACGTTGCTTGTGTTATGGATACCAGATAGTTGATACACTACACATATATAACTTTAAATACATACATATTATAAATATAAACACCCATGACTGGAGTACAAACATCCATGCTCATCATACAAATGAATGCCCCCAGCGGGACTCGAACCCGCGACCGCTGGCACAGCAAGTAGCGTTACTACACACTGAGCCGAACGTGTTGTCAAAATGGAATATTGCGCTTGCGCACTTCTTAATACCTATATGTATATACATAATAATACAATTTTTTGAATTATATACAATTTTTGTATAATAAAAAACAATACTTACGGTTGAAAGCGAACATTGTTGTAATTTCTCGACACTTCACACCACTTTTATATTATAAATTATGATAATAATATAAATTCTATATTTTTATACACTATATTATTATGTTTTATTTAAAATATTATAAATATATATAATATAATAAAATATATTTTATATTTTTATGTTTAAATTTTAAAGTTTTTTACTAGTACTCTGTGTACTTCCTCGCAATTTGAGGCGAATCTGTAACAAAAAAAAATGTATAAGTGCGATGCTTTTTATATTTCCTTAATTATAGAATGATAAAACCATATAAATATAGTTAATTTTATTAACACGAAATAGGTTTTTTATATATATTGATTTTACCGGATATTAATAATTTAAAAATACTAACACATTTGCCTTTATATCAGTCTGACTCTCAAACCGTGAGTTCAAGCACTATGTTATGTTTTTTAATATGAAATTAAATTGCTAGTTGAAAAACAAAATTATTTAATTATTTACAATTTTATTTTCATCGAATGCAAAATTAAATTTGTATTTCATGTCATCTTGTGTCAGAAACAAAGTTATTTTTGCGATCGAACGATTAGTATTTAAAATATGATGTCTCTGATAATTTCATGTGCGAATCATTTCCAACATGATCACCACTTGTCTTACGGTGAAGGGAAACATCGTGAGGAAACCTGCATGCCTGAGAGAATCTAGCAAGTTTTTTAAAGACATGCTCAGTCTGCCCGTACTTGGCCAGCGTGGTGGACTATGGCCTGATCCCTCTCGTATTGAAGGGAGGCCCATCCCCAGCAGTGGGACGTTAAAAAGGGCTAAATATATCAAAAACCACTTAAGCTCACGACCCATAAGCTTAAACGGACCCAATTTTCACCACTCAGTTACATATATGGAGTGCAATTTTTTTAACTGTTCCTAATATAACTACAGAATTGTATAGTGGTTTCCATAGTTTTTGAGTAAAATAGCTATAAAAAATACAGACAGATAGACGGATGTATGAGTACAAAGATAGAATATAACCTGAAATAACACACGAGGCTGTTAATCAATCAATGTGAGATTAAAAAACACATTTTAAAACGGGTCACTAGAAAACACAACATGAACAAAACCGCCCCTCCCCCTCCCTACTAACTCTCACTACCCCTCACTATAAACCCCCACCCTCTAAACGATATCCTAAGGAAAATATGGGCATGTATAAATATGTATACATATACTAGCAGAACCCTTATTATTGAACATTTTTCCAATTTTATACAATACTAGCGACTCAGCCTCGCTTTGCTTGGGTTCGTCCCTAGTTTGATTCCCTATACAATCTTTCATCCCCATTTCCACCCCCTTAAGAGATGACTTCCGGGATAAAAAGTATCCTATGTCCTTTCCAAAGTCTCAAGCTATCTTTTTACAAAATATCATCTAAATCGGTTCAGTAGAACCAGAGATTAGCCCCTACAAGCTTACAAACTCACAAACTTTACCTCTTTAAAATATTAGTATAGATATTATTAAAAAAATGTACATACCAAAATTTTATAAGTTCAAATAAACTATGGTAACGCAACACAAACTATTTTGTTAGTAAAAATATAACATATCTATATAAGAACGACCTCAAATCACTCGTGTTTTAGCTTCTATATTTTATTGTAATAAAAAACGATAGTACCCTCATAAATATTATAAGTTATAATTAATTTTTTTTTCCATTACCCAACTGAATGATTGAGCGGAACAAAAAAACAGGCGGTGGCATATTATACGATGATTTTGGCTAAATTATCTATACTAATATTAAAGAGATAAAGTTTGTAAGTTTAATAAATAATAATAATAAATATGTTGGTACATTAACAGACAGCACCATCTAGTTCCATGGTAAGCTACGAGGCTTGTGTTATGGATACCAGATAGTTGATACACAACATATATATAACTTTAAATACATATATATTATAAATATAAACAACACCCATGACTGGAGTTCAAACATTCGTGCTCATCACACAAATGAATGCCCCCAGCGGGACTCGAACCCGCGACCGCTGGCACAGCAAGTAGGGTCACTACAAACTGAGCCAAACGTGTCGTCAAATGTCGTCGTCAGTTAAAATTTTAGTTAGTTCAGATAAAATTTAGAACACAGATAGTCAGTGACCTGGAGGAATATATTATAGGTCATCTTATACTAATATTATAAAGAGGTAAAGTTTGTGAGTTTGTGACGTTGTAGGGGGTAATCTCTGGATCTACTGAACCGATTTAGATGAAATTTGGTAAGAAGATATTTTGAGACCCTGGGAAGGACATAGGATACTTTTTATCCCGGTAATCATCCCTTAAGAGGGTGAAAATGGGGATGAAAGTTTGTATGGAGAATCGAGTTAGGATGAACTCGAGCGAAGCGAGAATGAGTCGCTGGTTGTTTCATAATTTTACAGTTCCGTAGGTACCTTAAAAAGAAAGAGGAAACCCTTATAGGATCACTTCGTTGTCCGTCTGTCAGACAGACAGTCAAAAATATGTCTGTCAAGACCTTTTTTTCTCAAGAACGCGTGGACGTGTCACGTTAAAATTAATATAAAATACTCAGATCTGCAATCCCTTAGAGCTGTAAAAAAATTGAACTTCTAATGCCCGATTTCACCAACCACCCATAAGCTACAACCTACGTTTGGGATCCCTAGCTTAAAAGTCCCCTAAAATAGCCCCTAAATAAAATTTCGTTTAACCATCGTCTTTAAGCCCATATTTCGAGCACCTAAATTTAGGGGGCCTTTTAACATTTAGGTGACCCCTAACTGTCTGTGAAACAGAAACTGTCCCCTAACAGCCCCCTAACCATGCTTAGGGGATCCCTTAAACTTAGGTGATGTTGGTGAAATCGGACATAAGACTACGCAATCAAAAGATACGGCCGTTTAAGTCGCACTCGCAAAGGAATAAAAACCTATAGGATACTTCCCGTTGACCTAGAATCATGAAATTTGGCAAGATGCAATGTCTTATAGCACAAGTAAATGGAAAAATCCGAAAATCGTTAATTAATATAAACATCACACAAAAAAATACGATTACAAACTTGTTTTCAACCGACTTCAAAAAGGAGGAGGTTCTCAATTCGACTGAATTTTTTTTTTATGTTTGTTACCTCAGAACTTCGTCATTTATTAACCGATTTGGACAATTTGTTTTTTTGTTTGTGTTTTGTTGTTTTGTTTGAAAGGGTATACTTCCAGATTGGTCCCATTTAAATTCCAAAAAAAGTAATTAAAGCCTACCTATTAAATACATACCTAATCAAATATTTTCGAAATCGGTGCCAGCCCATACAAAGCAAAGCACACCGACTTCGAAAATATTTGATTAGGTATGTATAGTATATGAAAACTACCATTCAGTTATTTTTTACTTTTTAGTGCTTTTAATGTTTCATTTCAGACTCGTTTTATAATAAATAGGTTCATTTTTTTCTGTATCGGTTTTTATAATTTTATCTATAATATATATATAATAAAATTCTAACTGAATCTGTACATTAAATATTTTTTGGAAAATCTTATTGAAATAGACATTAGTATCGATACAGAGGCCGAATCTATAGTTTTTAGAATTTTTGTCTGTCTGTCTGAGAACGCATTACGAGAAAACCTTTGGGTAGATTTTAATGAAATTTAGTATGATGATAGCTGGTTATCCAGGTCAGCATATAGGATACTATTTACAGCGGGAAAACATCTCATCTCTGAGAAATCTATACTAAACGTTAAAACGTAAGTAGGGACGAACCCGAGCGGAGCGATGGTGAGTCGATAGTTCAATATAAATAAATCCTAATTAGATTAAGAATATAAATATCTGCGAGGATGAAACAATTATAAGTATTTAAGTAATATTTAAGTGCCTGTACCTTTATTGATAAAAAAAAATTGTTATTCTGATTTCTTATATCACTAAATTTACAATAGCCTTTTTGTAATATGGCTGCATTTATACAATGACATGTTAACCCATATAAATGAAAATATTGAATTTTTGTCACAAACACATTGTCAGTTTATTTAAGATTTTTTTAATAATATTTTAAAATAGAAACTTTTTTTCACGCATAGGAGTAAAATTTCAAGGCTGCTACGTGAGAAATCGTCACAAAAAACCGCCATGGTTGCCATAGAAACCATTTGCATTAGATTGCCATATTTACCCTAGTAATTGTTAAAAAAAATATCTTAATATATGATATTCTTTCCGTTGCTATATGCAAAGATTTTTATTTTTACTAATTTCTTTTCAAATATGCAAAATATTTATAACTAGCGACTCACCCTTACTTCGCTCGGGTGTGTTCCTAGGTACGTTTTAAGGGTTAGTATGGAATAGAGATGTACATAATATAAATAACCAATGAAGTTTTACTTCTTACGTGTACTCTGTACTCAATACTTTTTGAAGTTATATTTCTTTTGGCACGCTTAGAAAAAATTATGAGAGTAAAATTTTTACAATGCGCGCGCACACCGACAGCCAAAAAGCGACATGATGAAGCTAGCTGCATTCCTTTTACAAACAGAGAGTTGTGACATATAGGATGAAATCTTTAGCTATATTTGTTCTGTTACGCCAAAGAATTATAACTTCTTACGTATATACATAAGTACACACACACGTTTTTTTTCAATCACTACTATTGAAAGTGCGAAAGTTTCAAAGTTTCATGTATATTATGTGTATGTGAGCGTGTATGTTTGTTACATCTTTACGCCGAAACGGCTGGACGGATTTGGATGAAATTTAGTACCCAGATTTACTATGACCTGGAAGCATGGATATAGAACATGGACCTAGGGATGCACACGAGCGAAGCGTGAATGGTTACTTTTTTGATATTTTATTGCAATTTCAACAATTTTTGTAATGTTTTTTAAGTAAAATGTAAAAAAGAAATATTTTATTACATTTTATTAGTATTTACATTTTATTAGCACAGAAAATTAAAACTATCGTTATCACAATAGTTCCTACGTAATAATAATTCAATACATTATTAGTAAATGCGATAACGCAGTTTGACCTCTTTGTTCAAATAAATATACAATTTGTGTGCATAATGTTAGCGATATTTGTGTAATGTCAGGTGTCCTATAATTTAAATACTAGAAACTTGCTCCGGCTTTGCTTAGGCACTGTTTTCTTTTAATGTTACCAAATGCATTTAGACATACCACCTATATACATACAGGTGGTTATGTGGGACTCACAGGATAGAGAAGCCAGTACTACCAACCTAAACCTTTGTTATGGGGTTTTGTTTAAAGCCTAACTGTACTCACGCTTATTACTTTTCAAACCGACTTCAAAAAGGGAGGTTGTTTTTGCAATTTAACTATTAGAGTTTAATAATAATTACCAATGTCCTCACCAATCCGGGCACGGCGGCCAATCTTAATGAGACTAGCCATCTGCGCAGGAGATATTATAGTGCACAATATGTGAGCAACCACAAAACTGATCATAACTTTCACTCTCAAATTTCGATGGTACCACAATCCAACATAACCTGTCAGAGATCAGGCGCAACACCTACCGATGGCTTTACATGCTCTGCCTCAGCAGAGTGGTGAAACAGTTCCCACTACCCAAATCCGGACTATTACTGAGAATTTCTGGACAGAAAAGCTCAAGAACTATCCTTGGTTCGACCCGGAACTCGAACCCAGGACCTCCTGATCTGCAGCCGTACATGCTAACAACTAGACCACCAATGCAATCAAATAGTCTCTGCCCGATGCACGGAGGCAATTACGAAATATTTGCGTGCGTTTGATCCCTGTATTGTTATTACTAAAACTTTAATCACTATGACGACACGTTTGGCTCAGTTTTTAGTGACTCTACTTGCTGTGCCAGCAGCCGCGGGTTCGAGTCCCGCTGGGGGCATTCATTTGTGTGATAAGCACGAATGTTTGTACTCCAGTCATGGGTGTTTGAAAAATATTTATAATATGTATGTATTTAAAAGTTATATATGTATGTGTAGTGTATCAACTATCTGGTATCCATAACACAAGCCTCGTAGCTTACCATGGAACTAGATGGTGCTGTGTGTTAATGTCCCAACATATATAGGACTAGCAGAACCCGCGGGCGGTTAATCGCGCGAAAACTATCTAAAAAACTATCTTAAAGATATATATATTTCATACAAACGTCCCATTCCTATTTTACCCCCTTATAGAATGAATTTCGAAAAATGCTAAATCACGTATTTATTTCATTTTATTGAAGAGCAATAATTCCAAGTTTCAGGTAATTCTGATCATAAATATTTTTTTGGATTGTATTATAACGTGCTTTCCCGTGGGAATAAGATAATCTCCCACGATAAAAAGTAGCCTCTGTCACTCTCCAGTCTTTCAACTATCTCCACACAAAAAATCACGACAATCCGCCAAGCCGTTTCGACGTGAAACAAAGACAAACAAACCAACAATCAAACAAACAAACAAACAAACAAACACACTTAGTATGGATAAGCAAGCTTCTTCAATGTTGTAAACATCATTAATTGTAATGCTTTCAATTACTAATTATATTATTTTATAACGTATTTTACATCTGTATAATATGTAAAATGTAAAATAATAATAAATTAAATGAATAATATTTATTAATCTCAAATTAATAATAAAATTTTAATGGCACCGTAAACATTTTAATGATGAATTTACGTAATTTACTTTTTGCTATTTTTAAATAATAAGAAAAATATTTAATATATTTTTATTTACGTTTAATTTTATTTTTTTAATTTTCTAATCAAAAATTTAAATTTCGGATATATTTGTGGTTTGTAAAAAATCCCACCATTTCGAAGAAACTCAGAAGAACTGACGACAAAAACTCAATAGCTCTACAGACAGATCTTTTATATGAAAATATTACTTTTTTTGTATGCTCTACAAATATACAAATTATATCAAACATTGAAATATTTTTGAAGCGATTACATCATTCCCAAATAGTCTTCAGTTAACGACGGGTTCTTCTTAAACATAATAATATCTTTAAACGAGCAATTCTTGTATATATATATATATATATATATATATATATATATATATATATATATATATATATATATATTATATATATATATATATATATATATATATATATATATATATATATATATATGTGTGTGTGTGTGTGTGCGTATAATCTGAATCTCGGAAACGGCTCCAACGATTTTCATGAACTTTAGTACACAGGGGGTTTCGGGGGCGATTAATCGATCTAGATTAGTGCGATGTCTGAGAAAACACGTGTTTTCGAGTTTTCATGCAGTTTTCTTTTGCATTATAAAAAGAAAATTGTACTTTAGGCCAAAAACTTCGAGCGAAGCTCGGTAGCCCAACAACTGATTAATAACATGCTGAAACTTCACGAGTATGTATAGATTATCAATACTCATATTATAAAGAGGTAAAGTTTGCGAGTTTGTAAATTGTGAGTTTGTAACGTTGTGGGGGTAATCTCTGGATCTACTAAACCGATTTAGATGAAATTTTGTAAGAAGATAGTTTGAGACCCTGGAAAGGATATAGGATACTTTTTATACAGGAAATCATACCTTAAGGGGGTGAAAATGGGGATGAAAGTTGGTATTGGGAAGCTAGGGACGAACCCGGGAGAAGCGAGGGCGAGTCGCTCCCCCCCAACGTGCGTTCACCTTGTCGTGGTGGGGGGGCTCAGTAGTAGTAGCGAAGCTAAGAAACGCACAGGGAGGTTGCCCACTTCGGTGGGCGGTGGGAGGTGGCCCTCTTCGGGGGGCGGTGTACCTTGCGGGTTGCTCCTGGTACTTCTCTGATAGCAGAGTGGACCTTGGAGTAACCCCATGGTTGTGGTGGTCTGCTTCGGCAGACCTGCCGTCGGGGCGTCGTAGCTGAATGCGTAAGCGATCCTGCAACGCCCCATTAAGACGAGGGAAGGTTTTGTTGGGTTTTAGTGGGTAGACTGGCTGTATTACGCCGGTGAGTCCCACACGTCGTGCGTAAATTATGTTATGTTTTTACCCTGCATGTGTATCAACTGTTAATAATCGCAAACATTTGCATCAGCAGCTTTGCTTAATAGCACTACGAGATCTTGTTAAAAAATATATAAGCACCGTTCTGCGCCGTATTTCTAAGTTTAACTTTTCTTCTCCAGCCTTCCTACTGGACTATGAAAGTGAAAGAAATATTAAAGTAAATTATGTTTGCTCTCTCTCTGTCTCTCTCTATCTCTCTCTCTCTCTCTCTCTCTCTCTCTCTCTCGCACACACACACACAAACACACACACACACACACACACAACGACACACTCACACACCTGCTCTATAATATCTTTTGCGAATTGCCCATCTCAGTCAATCTGACCATGACCGAAATTAACAAATTTATTTTATTATATACTTGAGCTGTTGGGTACTGTTTTCTAAAATATTCAGCTATTTACAGCGTCCCACTGTTAGAGGTGGGCTTCCCTTTAATGCGAAGGGGATCAAGCCATAGTTCACCCCCCTGGACAAGTGCGGGTTGGCGGAACTCACATGTCTTTTGAAGACTAAGTTCTCTCAAACCAGTTTTCTCACTTAAAACAATTATAATCACATTATATAAGATTTGCGCATATCAGAGGTGCAAAACCTTAGATTTGAACCCGTTTCACTTGGTTTTTTCAAGCAAATGCGTTATCATGTTAATAACTAATGTTAATAACTATGGTAGTTCAGTAGCTACAATAGCCTTCCCAAAAGCACGTTGGGTAAAGACCTCAAACTTTGTGTCAAGCAATATAGAAATAAAGTCCGTAATCAAACTCCCAACTAGCCCCATTAGAGAGCATATAGCCGTATGATTTTATTTAAATCATTTTATTATCTTATTATAAGAAACCAATCAAAATAAAAACTGCTATAAGTAAATCAAATCTGATCTTAATTTCCGAAAAGCTAAAATACTGCAATTAAAGGCGGGATTTACCAGTTTTTAATTAGAAAAATTTAAACTTAGACAAATTCTAAATATTTGATGTTCCGCTCGGAAAATTAATATAACGATATCATATTTTTTACCTTATGAGTACGACTTCATTACTCGTAGTTAAACAAAAAATATACGATATATACACTGTTCTAGAGTTTCTTGTTGATGGAAATGTGTGGAATTAATATATATTGACTCTTATGCGGGTAATCTGTAATAATATTATGTTTATCAATGTAACTTCGTTATTTATAATTATAAATTAAAAAAATTAAAAACCCCCCCTACGCAAATTAATTGTCATTTAACGATTACACTGGCACGCTTGAAGCATTTAATCGAGTAATCATACGCCAAAATGCCTTACATCGTTTTGGAAAGAGCTGATACTCTTACACTGCTGGACCGATATTAACCAAACATAGCTAATAACCACCGCAAGGAAACTGGCTTTGAAATCAAAAAAAACGCATCGAAATCGGTCCATCCGTTTCAGAGCTACGATGCCGCAGCCAGAGACACACACAGACAGACAGACATCGACATCAAACTTATAACACCCCTCTTTTTGCGTCGGGGGTTGAAAAGAGCAACTGTTGAGTTTCTTGCCGGTTCTTCTCAGCAGAACTGCCTTCCGAGTCGGTGGTAGCTTCCTCACGGGCTGACTACACTGACGCTCTAAATTGACGATTCAAAAGTGCTTGTAATAATTCTATTTGAATAAAGTTTTTATTTCATTCATTCATTCAATATTAAAATAGTTTTTGTGTAACAAAATAATTTAGCCGAAAACAACGAATTCGTGGAACTAACATTATTTTTGCTTATTTAAATTTCGAGTAACTAATATTATAGATTCTAATCAAATTTTGAAGAATAATACCAATACAATACGTATATTTATCACTACACATTTGCTGTTTTTTTTAAACCTCTGTATATGAGAAAGGCCACTCATGTATAAGCTAGAAACTCGGGTAATGAGAAACCTTTACGAACGACGACACGTTTGGCTCAGTTTGTAGTAACCCTACTTGCTGTGCTAGCGGTCGCGGGTTCAAGTCCCGCTGGGGGCATTCATTTGTGTGATGAGCACGAATGTTTGTACTCTAGTCAAGGGTGTTTATATTTATAATATGTATGTATTTAAAGTTATATATGTGTAGTGTATCAACTATCTGGTATCCATAACACAAGCCTCGTAGCTTACCATGGAACTAGATGGCGCTGTGTGTTAATGTCCCAACATATATATATATATATATATATATATATATATATATTATACATGATACATACGAGTACATATGTACATCTCACGACAAGGATGAAACGTGTATGTCTCCGACTGCATAATACTATATTCCTTCGTGAACTCGTTTTCATCTTTTTAGTTAGCTTTTAGGCAGTCGGGTTTTTTATTTTTATAATATACTAGCAAAATCCGCAGCTATGCCTGCGTTCAATCTACAAAATAAACTTTTTAAGGCATTATTTTAACATCCGCTATTTTACCCTCTAGGAGTTGATATTTAGAAAACGCTGAAATACGTAACTCATTATTTTTGTTGTACTTAATTCATACAAAATTTCATGAAAATATGTCCAAGGAATAAAAAGTTTCATACAAACTTTTATCCCCTATTTCACCCCCGTGGGGGTTGAATTTTGAAAAAACCTTCCTTAGTGGATGCCTTCGTCATATGAGGTGTACGTGTGCGAAATTTCAATTTTCTAGCCCTAAGGGTTTGGTCTGTGCGTTGATACATCAGTCAATCACTTTTGCCTTTTATATATAGATTTATTTTTATTATACACTAGCGGCTCACCCTCGCTTCGCTCGGGTTCACAAGCGCGAAAAGCACAAACAGATCTATCCCACGGGAACTTTTAATTTTCCGGAATGAAAAGTATCTTAGATGTTGACTTGACGACTTGACGTTGGGGGATATAAGGTACCACCATGCAAAATTTCATTTAAATCGGTCCAATAGATTCAGAGATTAAAATTGAAAAAAATCAATTTTTTTTTCAAAGTTTTCAGCAATTTTTCTATGTACAGACATTCGACCTCTACAGTTTTATTATAGTATAGATAATTATTTATATATTTTCCAAAAAATCTAAATGAACGACTAATACCTATCCAAAATATACGTTATTCTTTAAGAAAACCAAACGATCTGTCTTACAAAATCAAAACAAAATTACGCTACTATTTCTGGCTTCAACATTTTTTGGCAGACTCCCTCTATACAAATTTAGTCTAAGATAATAAATAAAATATGAGGAAAATCTTGCTAAAAACCACATTATGTATACTTACAATATAAAATCCAATATAAATATGACCATCCTAGAACGCACTAGCACTATCAGATTTACTATACAAACGTACGAAATGTATCGCGCTTCAAGAACTAATGAGGTTAGAACAAATGATAACATTATCTATATAGAATACCTATACTTAATGATTAAATTGAATTAATTTCGAAATGCATATCCCATATTGGATTTATAATTTAATTATTTTTCAACATCTCGCTAATACGGTGAAGGAAAATATCGTGAGGAAACCTGCATGTCTGAGAGAACCTAGCAAGTTCTAACAAGACAATTTGCTAGGTGAAGTCTATCAAATTTGCCTAATGCCCGATTTCACCAACGTCACCTAAGCTTAAGGGATCCCCTAAGCATGGTTAGGGGGCTGTTAGGGGACAGTTTCTGTTTCACTGACAGTTAGGGGTCACCTAAATGTTAAAAGGCCCCCTAAATTTAGGTGCTCAAAATATGGGCTTAAAGACGATGGTTAAACGAAATTTAATTTAGGGGCTAGTTTAGACGAATTTTAAGCTAGGGATCCCATACGTAGGTGGTAGCTTATGGGTTGTTGGTGAAATCGGGCATAAGTCTACTACGGCCTGATTCTCCTCACAATGAGGGAAGCCCATGCCCAGTAGTGTAATGTTAAAAAGAGCTGAACTATAATTACTTTTATTATATATACAGATAAATAAAATTAAAGTGTCTGTTTGTAATTTCAAAATAACAGCGTTTTACTAAATGCATATGAAATTATATACGGCACTTGAGTATAAGAAAAACACATTTTTTTTTCTATTTATTAATTTTCCAGCCGTTTCAAAGATTACTTTGAAACGGCTGGATTGATTTTGACGGGACTTTCACTAGAAGATAGCTGATATTATAGGGAGTAACATAGGCTACTTTTATTTTACAAACGAATTAGGCCGAACCCGGGCGAAGCGCGGGTGAGTCGGTAGTTATACATATGTAGTTATATTTATCCAAATCGGTTCTAAGGTTTGTACAAGAAAAACTAACATACGCACTCTTACAGACTCTTAATTTTTGTGTGATAAATCGACTAAAATTAAATAGCAGTTTTGTTTAATCTTTCATCTTCTCGTAAATTACAATTTACAAATTGAGGAAACCATTAAAATATTTACGCAATATTACTATAAAAGATTGTAATACTAAATTATAGTAGGAGGTAAAAATACCCTGGAGCAAATTTTTTGTGACAACTACCCTGTGTCGTGTTTGTTAACAAAATATATTTCGCATGGAAAAAGAGTGAGGGTTCCACCACATAGATCGAGATCTTAGACTATAATTTAAATTCAAGTAAATTTTGGTAAAAAAAAATATATTTTTTAATATACAACATACATGTATTTTGCTATCTACACAATCCCAAAGTTCAAATCAGAAAATTCTGCGTGTGAATTTTCAAATCTGCACGGCCAAATATCATGCAAAACTCACCATTCAGAAATAACGGTTCATGGATAACGCGCTTGCTTGAAAAGCTGAGTATATCGGGTTCAAACCCGTATTTTGCATTTTTGATATGTCTAATACAGCCGGGCGCGAAGCCAAGAAAAGCACTGGGAGGTGGTCAACTTCAGTGGGTGGTGTACCATGCGGGTTGTTCCTGGTACTTCTCTGATAGTAGAGTGGACTGTTGGAGCAACCCCATGATTGTTGCTGTCTGCTTCAGCAGACCTGCCATTGGGGCGTCGTGGTTGAGTGCGTAAGCGATCCTGCGACACCCCATTAAGACGCGGGAACTTCCGTTGGGCTTTAGTAGATAGTACTGGCTTTACCGGTGAGTCCCACATAACCAACTGTATGTACACAGGTGGTATGCCTAAATGCATTTCCCAACGTTAAAAGAAGGGATGTACGTAATTACCCGAGCGAAGTGAGATAAATCGGTAGCCAAAAATGTATGAACAAGATTTCTTAACATTATGTTTATTTATTATTATTTTTTTTATTTTCCAAGTAAATTCAATAAATAACGTTGACCTATGCCTCGATGTTCTGACGCGAGAATATTTTATCTTCATAGAACGACACAATTACTTATAATACTAAAATTGCCTTTACGTAACACTTTTGCAGTTTAACTAGAGTTTGCCCGTAGCTCTGTTTGCGGGATGCACCTAACAAAAACCAAAAAAACATTTAACATTTGGACCGACTTAAAAATAGAAGAGTAACTCAGTACTCACTCTTCCTGTTTCGTCACAAATTTTTTTACAGTAAAAGCTGCTCGATTGTCTGCTCGAAGTCTGTCCTTTAAGCATTAAATATGCTAAAAGCTTGGATAATTTTAAAAGCTTATTCAAAATACAATTATCTGTCTTTTAAAGCTTTTGCCTTAGTCTTTTCCCCTTTCTCTCTTTAGATTTTCACCTAATATCATCCTTAATATTATTATTATTTCCACTATTATGATCTAGTATCTAATCCTATTTATTTTTTGGTTGGCATTTTCTTTTTTATGTGTGTGTGTGTGTAAATTTATGAATGTATGTATATATATATATATATATATATATATGCATTAACATATGTATATTTTTATCTATAAGTATTTATATATGTAAACGTGTCAAAGCAAGAACACCGCCTACCGTTTTTGTGAACACTTACTCCTCCGCCTCAAGGTTGCCTGGAAGAGATCGCTTCCTGAGGTAAGGCCGCCTGCTGTGCATTTTTCTTTGTGTTGTTTTTTTATATATTTTTTTTCTTTTTTAGTGTACAATAAAGTATATTATTATTATTAATCCGACTCCCTCCTAACCAACTTTGTATTCAATTCAATTCTTTTGTGGCTTCTTAAAGCCCAAACTGTGCCCGTTGGGCACAATTTGCTTCGCCAATGTCACGTAGAATGGAGAAGATACGTTATATAAGAATGACCGGTAAAAGAAAAAATCTCTAGGTTTGATTAGATGTTGAAACAGAGTGATTCATTGTAAAATCAGGATGTACAACAGATAACACTATATACATATAAATGTATATATATATATATATATATATATATATATATATATATAATAAAAAAAAAAATAATAGTTGTTAGTACAAATAATTAATAATATAATTATGATTACAATTTTATTTTATTACTTTTTATATATGTACACAGAAGTCTACATAATGGAGATACATGGAAACACAAACATTAACAAACAATCAACATTAATGGGACGGGGGACTTTAGAAGGAACTAGGAAGAATGTTGTAGAGAGGGTAGAGAAGCTTAGGACAGCTGAAAGGATATGGATAAGGGAACCTTCATCAAGGTCACATTCACACAGGGAGTGTCTAGCTCTGATCATACAACTTTGTATTGATAACAATACCTGTAACTGACCGCCTCTTTATATAGACCAAGTTCGATAATTTTTGAAACCAAAAAAATTTTTAGTAGGATGAAACTCATTGGAAAAGGAAGAGAATTTAACAAAAATGGAAGAAAAAATAATTTACGGGTGATCTGAGTTCGGGAAGTGGGATGGGGTGGGTTTTTAAGAATAAAAAATCTTGATTTCTGGAAAAACTACAATACCTATGGAAAAAAGTTAAATTACAAAGTTGTAGGTAATAAAAAGATCTACAACAAAATATTTACACTTTTTTCACATAACCTCAAAATTTATGTGAAAAAGTTGAATAACCAGGTTTTTGGTTTTTTATTATTATGTTTTACAAAAACATTTTTCTTTTCACGAAATTTGGTAAAAACTTACCTTTATATGTCCCGAACATACAGTGTTTTTTTTTATTTAAAATAATTATTTTTTCACCTTATTTTGACTTAATATCGAAAAAGCACCCTAATTTTCAATCGAAAATTCTCGCGTCCAAATATTTGCTTTTTTAAAAAAGTCGATGGACTTTTTGTTCGTTGATATCTCTACTTTCTGATGGTGTTAAAAAAATATACATTACTATGGTAAATTTTCTCAGAAAATTTCCAGGTACTGCAACTCTGATTTCTCATAATTATGAACATGATTACCACTTGCTTGACATGAAGAAATCTCAGTGTCTGACAGAATCTAGCAAGTTTTCGAAAGACATGTGAAGTCCACCAACCCGAACTTAGGCAGTGTGGTAGACTACGGCCTTTTCCTCCGCATTAAAGGGAAGCCTGTGCCCAGCAGTGGGATAATAAAAAAAGCTAAACAAACACATGGCTCAAATATACAATTTTAATATAAAAGTACACCCAACTCAAAAAGTATTATATGATGATCTCCATACCGATTCCGGCCACGGCGGCCAATCTCATTAAGACTAACCAACTGCGCAGGAGATATTATAGTGCACAAGTGTACGCGCAGACACAACGTACACTCTCTATTCCTGTCACTCTCATACTCCGGTGGGACGACAGCTCGACACGACCGGTGAAAGTTAAGGCGCAGGACCGACGGCTTTACATGCTCTCCAAGGCACGGGGGTGAAACACCGCCAACTTTCCAACTCCGGGCTGTTACTGAGGCTAATTATACAGAAAGACTCAATAACTAAACTTGGCTCGACCCGGGACTCGAAACCAGGGCCTTCGGGTGAGCAGCTGTACATGCTAGCCACTACACCACCAAGGCAATTAATATTATATAGGTAAAATAGATAAATGTAGCTCGTAATTTTCAGTGGGTCCAATCTCATTTCATTACTGCGTGCCCCAAATACTGTGTGATCTCTGATACGCCCTACTAACACAGCCATATAATTACAAAATCTCTAAGCATTATTTGTGTCATGTGATATCGAATTGTAACAACAAGTTAAAATTATTGTCAACAATTTGTCAAGGCCATAGTTAAATATAACTATAAATTTAACTAAAAAAGTAGGTCATTTGGACGTTATGAGGTAAATCCGACTGGAACATGTAAGAATTTACGTTTAACAGAATATTCAGATAAACTATCCGTTACTTGCTCGGTCCTACCTCAATGGTAGTAGCTAGCATGTACAGCTGCAGATCCGAAAGTTCTGTGTTCAAGTCCTGGTCCCGGGTCGGGCCAAGTTTACTGATGAGATTCACTGGAAATTCTCAGTAACAACCACATGCTTTTTTTATGGGACCAAGGAGGCAAACGGTCAGGAGGTTCACCTGATGGAAAGTGATCACCGCCATGGACATCTGCAACACCGCAGAGCTTGCAGATGCGTGCTGTTGGGACTTTGGCGGTGTAAACCCAACGAGCCTCGGAGAGCTAGTGAAGCCTTCGGTCATGTGCCTTCACCTGCACACATGGCTAGTATAATCTCAATGAGATTATTTATCGTGGCCAAAATAAATTAGGAAAAGGAGGTCCTCTTTCAAAATAGGTTGGGAAGAGGATATCCTACCTTGTTTCTTATATGTATAAGAAAACAAAAATTAAATTAAAAAAATAACTCGAATTAAAACTACTGAGTGCCAGATGAGGCATCTGTATATAACATGTATTTACAACAAAGGAATACAAATATACTTAATCTATACATATAATAAAATTCTAACTGAGCAAAATCTGTACAATCAATATTTTTTGGAAAATTTTATTGAAATAAACATTATTATCGATACAAAGGCCAAATTTATAGTTTTTAGAATTTTTGTCTGTATGTCTGTCTGTTACCGTATCACGGAAAAATCACTGGAGGGATTTTCATGAAATTTGGTATGTTGATAGCTGATTGTCCGGGTCAACATATAGGATACTTTTTACCGCAGGAAAATATCTCATTTCTGAGAAAAAATACAACAACTGCATTGTAAGAGGTAAAACCTAAGAAATAGGTTTTTGGTAATCTGAACGCGGGCGGAGCCGCGGGCAATACTAGTGTCATATAAATTATGAAGTGTACAGACAAAGAACAGGTAATATCCTTATGAGAAAAAAGCAATTTAAAGTTTAGAAGTATAATATTTTTATTGAGATCAAAGTATGAAGTAACTTTGTACTATGTACATTTTTGGACAATTCTACTTCTTTACCATTATGTCGTGGACAATCCCAGTTCTTTTCATTTTGGGCACAGATAAAAACGTGTTTTTAGCGATATCCGTTCAGTATTTGTAAAAACCAGTGGTTGGAATGCATGTACCATTTATATGGATTAGTTACCAGTACAAATAAAAAAAAATCGTGTGTGTATGTACTTATGTACACACGTAAGAAGTTATACTTGTTTGGCGTAACAGAACAAAAATAGCTAAAGATTTCATCCCGTATGTCACAACTCTCTGTTTGTAAAAGGAAAGATAAAATAATTAAATAAGGCATATTAGGCATATTAAAATCATATATTTATAGAATATCATTTAAAGAAACAATATAATATTATATAGCATTTATTAGACAATAACAACGGTTACCATGGCAACAAACATCAGCTAGCTTCATCATGTCGCTTTTTGGCTGTCGGTGTGCGCGCGCATCGTAAAAATTTTACTCTCATTATTCTTTCCAAACGTCCCAAAAAAGTATAATTAAAAAAAACAAAATTGTGATTGATACATTTCCTATTCTTTGCCTGTACCCCGCATATGTGGTATACTGTAAGAAATTTCTAAAGACGTAGTTTATCTAAAAATTAAAGCGCCTGTTAGACAATAAATGCAATACGCACGCTGTACATTTCAATATCTGTAAACCTAAGATTTGGGCACAAAAAATTCTTAAGTATTCTAAAAATTATACTAATAATAATAATAATATGCGTTTATTTCAGACAAGAAGTCCATAAAAATTGTCAGTACACAGAGAACAGAAATAACATGCTACAAAATTATCATAGAAAAGCAAAGAAAAATAAAAACATTTAACAATTAAACTAATACGGTACGTTTTAAATTAAAATGGATATAGTATGTTATCCTTAAGAGATAGACATATGCCATCGCGGACTTTTCTGTAGACCTATATAAGATACACAATTCCACCATACATTATTTTGTTATATCTCAAAGGGTTTAGGCAGCGTTTTCGTTGAAAGCTCCCAGACGTCTTATTTTTTCCGACACCTCCAACAAATATCGTTATAATATAGCCAATGTATACAAAAACTTAACAAATTATATACTAAAACCTTCCTCTTGAATCACTCTATCTATTAAAAAAACCGCATCAAAATCCGATGCATAGTTTTAAAGATTTCAGCATACATAGGGATATAGGGACAGAGAAAGCGACTTTGTTATATACTATGTAGCGATTCTACAACTATGTAATACGAGTATTTGTAGGATATCTCAGGAAGAGTTAGCATCATATTTCAGAACTTATATATTTTAACTAGATTTAGTTACAATTTATTGGGAAACACTTTATTCTCATTAAAACTCATTCTCAATAAAATATTATGAAGAGGTAAAGTTTGTGACTTTGTGACGTTGTATGGAGTCTCTGGATCTCTCTGGATCTGGATAATTTTTTATGTATGTTTATTTATATTAAGTTTTAATGGCTTGCACTTTATGCATCTGTCCGCTCTTCTCACTTATTTTCTTATATCCTTTTCTATCGGTTGCCTGTAGATATCACTTTTAGTGATGAGGCCGCCTTTGCACATCTCTAATCCCTCTACGAGCGCGGACACGCCGGCGTTACAGTTAACAATAGATTTCTTGGAAATTTAATTAATTTCTTAGAAATTTACCTGGAGGTGTTAAATGTATATATATTTTTTATGTTAATGTACTGTTTTCGTGTGCAATATAGTGTTATAAATAAATAAATATACTTATCCTTATATCGATATATTATTTCACTATAAAAATCCATTTGAACTGCAAACTCTAAAATCTAAATAAAATTCTTAAGTCAGCAAATTACAACAATAGCACCCATCAAATCTTATTAGTTTTATAATTGACCCTAAAACGTAAGTGCTGAAAATTACAGCCATTTTAATCCACGGTTAATTTACGTCGTCATCATATGAAAAAAACAATGTACACGTGTTAGAAGTGAAACTTTATTGGTTATTTATCATGTATATATATATATATATATATATATATATATATATATATATATATATATATATATATATATAGCATTTTTCTGTCGATAGTTGCACTTGGGTTATGTTTTGTTTTTCTGGTTATTTTAAAATTGAACAATATTTATATAAGTATTGTTTATTGTTTATAATTATTTCATTTTTTATAATAAAAACCGACTTCAAACAAAAGCACTAAAAAGTAAAAAATAACTGATTGGTAGTTTTCATTTACTATACATACCTAATCAAATATTTTCGAAGTCGGTGTGCTTTGGCTAAGTAATTAAAGCCTACCTACTAAATACATACCTAATCAAATATTTTCGAAATCGGTGCCAGCCCATACAAAGCAAAGCACACCGACTTCGAAAATATTTGATTAGGTATGTATAGTAAATGAAAACTACCAATCAGTTATTTTTTACTTTTTAGTGCTTTTGTTTGAAGTCGGTTTTTATTTTTTTGTTAAAAAGTTTTTATTTTTCCCTTTTTAGTGTAGACAGTAGTAGAAAAGTAAGGATTCTAACGTGTTAGGCTTGTCAAATCAAACAAAATAAGCCCAAACTCAAAGTATCTACTATTAGCCGTTGAAGAGTTCCACCTATCCACCTTCTGGACTTACCATCAGATCAGGTCAACAATACCGAACCACTGTACTATCATCGGAAATGGAAACACTTGCAAAGTTTCAAGTCAATATGACAATTAGAAGTAGGTTATATTCATCATTAGTTGTTTTTCCACCCTTAGGAGTGGTATTTTTTATTGAAATTTAAATGGGACCAATCTGGAAGTATACGCTTTCAAACAAAACAACAATTGTCAAAATCGGTTAATAAATGACGAAGTTCTGAGGTAACAAACATTAAAAAAAAATACAGTAATCATAAAAACAAGTCTAAATTAACGAAGATACCGTATAAGATACCTATTAGTGCACATTAAAAAAAAGCAAAAACTATACACCAGAAATATGAGAAAAAAATTGAGGACCTCCTTTCATGAAGTCGGTTAACAAGAAAAATAATAAAAACAGTTGAAGTACTTATAAAAATTCAATAATTTTAACAAAATATATTATAAATCTAAAAGAACATATCTATAGAAAAAGATGACTCGGTTGTTGATTACATATTAATTAATAATGCAATTAAAATATTATCTTTGACGTTATCTGTGTCGGTTATAAAGTTTACCAAAAAATAATACCTTATTGGTCTAGTGGCTAGCATGGTTGGTTGCAGATCTATTGGTTCTAGGTTGGAATCCTGGGTCGAGCCAATAACTATAACTATATTGGTTATTCTATCAAGAAATTCTCAGTAACAGCCCGTAGTTTTGAAGTTGGACGTGTTACTCCCCTGAGGCAGCACGTAAAGCCATCGGTCCTGCTTCTCTCACCGTCTCATCGAACTAAAAGTTGTTAAAAACTCAAAGTGGGCTTGTGACATAAGCGCACACATTATTATATTTTTATATCTCTTGCTATAACATATATTACTATATTATATACTATAATATATATACTAGCAGAACCCGCAGCTTTGCTCGCGCTAAAACTACAAAAAAAAACTCTAAAAAGGTAGGTTTCATACAAACTTTCATCCCCTATTTTACCCCCTTATGGGAAGAATTTCGAAAAATGCTAAAACATTTATTTAATTGTATTGAAGAGCATTAATACCAAGCTTTAAGTAATTCTGATCGAAAATATATTTTTGAGTTGTATTATAACGTGTTTTCCCGTGGAAATGAAATAATAAAATAAAAAAAGTTGCCTATGCCACCCTCCAGCCCTCCAACTATATCCACACAACAAAATCACGCCAATCCGCCAGTCTGTTACGACATGAAAGAAGGACAAACAAACAAACACACTTTCACATGTATAATATTAGTATCTCCTGATACTCCTGATACATGACTAATTTCAGTGAGATTTGAAATCGATTAAAAAGAAATTATAATTATAAAAAAATAACAAATATAAAAAAATACAGCTTATTTAAATAATCATTTTGGTGTATTTATTTTGATTTTTGGTTCCCGACGTTTCGAATGCTTTACAGCAATCATGGTCACGGGAGAGAAGGTTTTAGATGTCTCAAAGGCATACAGAATCTGTCCACAAATTATGACTTATACAATAATATATACAATATTTCATATCATTATATTATATACGTTGTAGGGGGTAATCTCTGGATCTACTGAATCGATTTAGATGAAATTTGGTAAGAAGATAGTTTGAGATCCTGGGAAGGACATAGGATACTTTTATCCTTGAAAACATCCCTTAAGGAGGTGAAAATGGGGATGAAAATTTGTATGGGGAATCATCATCATCAACAAAAAGATATAACGTAATTGTGTTTCTGTAAAAGGAATTATATTTAATTTATTCTGCTACTAGAGAAATTAAAAAAAAAATGAAAAAAATAATTTTCCAAAGAAAACAAAAAAGTAAGAAGACCACAAACAGTTATTAATCTAAGAACAAATCGATCCTAACGGAATAACAGATAAAGTTAAGATAACAGATAAAAATATCATTAAATAAACTATATATTCTGTTTATTAAAACTAAACTGGCTAGTTTTGATTTGATTGTGTTGTGTTCGAAATGTGTGTGAAGGTAGGTTTTTTCTTCTCCTTTCTACGCGATATTGGGGAAGTAATCTGTGCTCAACTGTCATGCTTTGGAGCCTATTGATAGGATAATTGAATGGAATTGGTTGGTTTTTTGACCAATTTCAAAATTAAGAAGTACTCAGTTTGGTTGTAATTTGTATGGTACGCGATTTATTTGGAAATATTGAATCGATTTTCATTTATATTTTTAAGATAAGTTGGAATATAGATTGATTTCCCATTCAAAATTTCATCCCCATTTTCCTTAAGGGATGATTTCCGGGATAAAAACTATCCTATGTCCTTCCCAGGGTCTCAAATTATCTTCTTACCAAATTTCATCTAAATCGGTTCAGTAGTCTCGAAGCCTATTCGGTACAAACAAACAAACAAAAAACCAAATCTATCCTATTCATAATAATAGTATAAATGAATAAGCTATGTATAATACTTTCTTATATTTGCACAAATATTTGACATCTATCTTTAAATATATAATTCTTCTGTGAGTGTGTATGTCACTAAACTTCTCTCAAACGACTAGACCGATTTTGATGAAATTTTTTGTGTGTGTTCAAGGGGAATGGTTTAGATTCACAATTGTACACGGTAGGTGGCGCTGCTGTCGGTGTAACAAAGGGTTTGTTTTTTTTAGTAGTTTGATCGCGGGCGAAGCTGCGGGTACAGCTAGTACTATAATAAAACAGTAGAGATCGAATGTCTGTACATAGCAAAAAAATGCTAAAAATCGAGTCAGGGGGATGTAAGAAGACAAATAGAACAAATCCAGATTTTTTTCAAAGTTTTTGTTTCTCTGTCTGTTTGTCTGTTTGTACGGGCTAATCTCCGAATCTATTGGACCGATTTAAATTAAATTTTGCATGTTGGTACCTTATATCCCCAGTCAACATCTAAGATACTTTTCATTCCGGAAAATTAAAGGGTTCCCGTGGGATAGTTAAAAAACTATAGTAACTTATACAGCTTAGTACACAACAACTTATACACCTAATTTAGTAAAATTTGGCATGCTGATACCTTATATTGCCGGTCAAACAACAGGTTACTTTTCATCCCGGAAAATTGAACGGTTTCCGTGGGATAGATCCGTTTTTGTTTGTTTGTAACGTATTATGTACACAATATAGACCCCAAAATAATATTTATTAAAAAATTTGTCTGTTTGCCTGTATGTCTGTTTGTCAATTAGTCTGTTTGTTTGTTTGTACGGGCTAATCTCCGTAACTGTTGGACCATTCATCTCATAGCATTCATTTGTGTTATGAGCACGAATGATTGTACTCCAGTCACGGGTGGTTTATATTTATAATATGTTTGTATTTAAAGTTATATATATGTGTAGTGTATCAACTATCTGGTATCCATAATACAAGCCTCGTAGCTTACCATGGAACTAGATGGCGCTGCGTCTTAATGTCCCAACATATTTATTTATTTATTATTTACCCATGAAAAAGTTCTCAAAAACAAATTATTTAATGGTGTTTTTTTTTCACTTACACTTCAGGTACTAATTATTTTGCTACTATTTGGCGTACAGCTTTACTGTGGAGAAGACATAGCCAAAATTGAGGTGAGTAAACCTGCGTATATACTATATGCGTATATATTTTTAAAATGTTATATAAAAACACGCTTTTAACCAATTGTAATGTATAGAATTGAATTGGTAAAAGAAGAAAAAAATGGAAAAAGTGAGCACAAAGTAGAAGATGTCCCTGTGACCATTATCAGACTGGCTATGAGTTGGTATAATTATTGTATTTTCATCTAGATTATTACTTATATGAAATCTATACAATATACATATAATAAAATTGTAACTAAGCCGAATCTGTACATTGAATATTTTTTTGGAAAACCTTATTGAATTAGACATTATTATCGATACAGAGGCCGAATCTGGTTTTTAGAATTTATGTCTGTCTGTCTGTCTGTTACCGCATCACAGAAAAATCACTGCAGGGTTTTTATGAAATTTGGTATGGTGATAGCTGGTTATCCAGGTCAACATATAGGATACTTTTTACCGCGCGAAAATATCTCATTTCTGAGAAAAAAAATGCAAAAACTGCAATGTAAGAGTATACTAATATGTAAAACCTAAGAATTTTTGGTCATCTGAACGCGCGCAGAGCCGCGGGCAATGCTAGTAAAAATAAAATAAGCTAGTGTCTAGAAATAATAAAATCATGTAGATATTACATACATAAAATATATAAATGTCAACAGGCACACGGGAACCGGAGACACTATCTAACAATATTTATCAACTATTTATAATACTAGCAACTTACACTCGTTTTGCTCGTATGCGTCCCTAAGTACGTTTTAATTTTAAACGGAACCGAACTTCAATTTCTAAAGTAAAAATAGCCTAAGTTACTCCTTATAACATCAGCTATCTACCAGTGAAAGTCACATCAAAATCAGTCCAGCCGTTTCGGAGATTAGCCAGAACAAACAGACAGACAGACAAATTTTTTTGCAAATAGTATTTTCTTTTAAGTACAGTATATAATTTCATATGCATTTAGTAGGAAGCTGTTATTTTGACATTACACACAGACACTTCTATTTTATTTATATGTATAGATATACAAATCTAGTCTCTGAATAAAGGCATCACATACTTACATATAACGTTTCAAATTGATTTAACAATTAAAAGTACGTTAAAATTGACTCACAAGATTGATTATCTAAATAAAACAATGTATTTTACCGCATTTTTGGTGGTTTTATTTTGATAGTTGTTTCCTGATGTTTCGATTAATTTACATAAATCAGGCTAAGGAGAAAATCTGCAAACAAAATGTCAGAAATCAAAATTAAACCGCGAATAAATCTGAAAAAATAGTTATATTTAAATTATCAAATATTCGCGTAAACCTAACAAATTACTTATTATTATTTATTTATTTAGTCACAAGAATTCGGACTAAGGAATAATATGAACAGTGTCATAGAATTAAACATGAAGCCAAACAATGTTTTAACATATAATCTATACATATTATAATAAAATTGTAACTAAGCCGAATCTGTACATTAAATATTTTTTTGAAAATCTTATTGAAATAAACATTATTATCGATACAGAGGTCGAATCTATAGATTTTAGATTTTTTGTCTGTCTGCCTGTCTGTCTGTTACCGCATCACAGAAAAACCTCTGGAGGGATTTTAATGAAATTTGGTATGGTGATAGTTATCCGAGTCAACATATAGAATACTTTTTACCGACATGTTCACTTACCCAGCGTGATGGACAATGGCCCGATCCCCTCATATTGAAGAGAGGCCCACCCCCAGCAATGGGGGAGCCCCGTGCCCAGCAGTGGGACTAAATACAATTTAAAATTTGTTTAAATTTTAAAATTAAAAAGTTCTAAATTCATTTTCAGTTTGACAATGGCAAAGAAGTATACGAAATTCGTGAATTACAAAACAAGAGTGTCGAATTCATAAATCCCAAAGAGGACATACCGATATTACGCGAGATTTTATTCTACAAAGTCATTGAAAAGCCTTACATACAAGAGACCAATGAACAGGTAAGAAGAATATTTTGTTAGTAGGTATAATTATTTTAAGAATTACTATTATTTAATAAGCAAAGGACATGAATTTGTCTTTACATAATATAAACGTGCAGTACCCGCGGTTTCACCCGCCTTCTAACTTGAACCACTGGACTAATCTCAAAATAGCCAGAAAATTTCATCAAAATCGTTCCAGCCGATTTGAAGTCCAAAGAGAACATACATACATACATCGATTTTATATATTCATAGATTTCTTTCAAAACAAAACATGCCAAAAAAATATGATTTCCGGGATAAAAAGTATCCTATGTCCTTCCCAGGGTCTCAAACTATCTTCTTAACAAATTTCATCTAAATCGGTTCAGTAGATCCAGAGATTACCCCCTACAACGTCACAAACTCACAAACTTTACCTTTGTCTTTCTAGAAATTTTTGGATGATAGTGAAAACCGTATCAAAATTAGTTGTGTCAAAGAAGAAATAGACCAAAACAGACGTAAATAATTTATTTTCAATTAGGTATTTATTGAATTATGGTGAATGTATATAAAACTGCTGTTTCTTTGCAAATCATGTCCACTTGGCATTGATTTTGTTATTCGCATTATTCCAGGTACCAATTATCGAGAAATCGAAAGATGAGCAGGACAAACAAGAGCCGGTATTTGATGAAACTCGTCGATCTTTCACCAATGGTCATGGATTTCAGTTCTCAAACGGGGAATATCAGGATGAGGTATGTACATGAAGATTTTTGTAAGATAAATCACATCACAAAAAAATGATTCCATTTTTGGAGAATTCTTGATACTTCAAATTCATTTTTGGGACGACATTATTAATATATTTTTTTTTCAATTGAAATGTCTAGAAATAGAATAGTTCTTTATTAGTCTATAGATGACTTTGTATGTCAAAAATTCATATTTATTTTTAGGATACCCATAATGTAGAAAATAAGAATACATACAGTAATACCAATGATAATAATCTTTCTGAAGGCGAACATAAAGATGTTGATGACAATGATGACAAAGATCATATCGAACGTGATAAAAATGACAACGTTAATGATAAATTTGATGATAATTATAGCAGTGACAATGATAATGCTAAAAATGATACTACACATGATAAAAATGATGACATGTTTGAATATGACGATGATACGGAAGATAGTAATAAAAAACAATTGAATAGCAATAATGAAATCATAAAAAAATATGGTAATTATACAGATGATGATCAGAACGGAAATAATACGAATGCTAACGAAACAAATTATGACACAGATGATGACAATATTGGGAAAACGAACATTACTAGAGAAGATGTGAATGTAAGTTAAAATATTATTGAAATACTTAAGCTGATCATCGTCAAAATATGTTTAAAGTTGTTATGGTCCATCACTCTAGAAGTCGCAGGTTCGATTATAGCATACGGCGAATTTTTATATCAACCATATAAACACAAAGTCTTTATGAATTATATATTAAATCTAACATTTTCTGGAACTTTTTACGCTAGAATTTTTATTTTATGTAACTATTTTTGTGCTTTTACAACCTTAAAATAGCGATCATCACATCATTCCCCAAACTTAGTTACTAAGATAGATGTGGATTTTAGATACCATCTTACATAAAGTTTAAGGTACCCTTTTCTACAAATAAAATATAATATTTGGAAGTGAACGAAGAGTGGATTCATTTCCTGTACATCTATCTATCTTTCCTGCAAAATCAAATCAAAATCTAAAAAAAACTAAAACAAATCTGGTTTTCAGGATGAGAATACAAAAGAAGACAAAATTCCTGAAGAAGAACTCAATTTGGTAAGTTCATTACGACGACGACTTTAGACGAAAGTTTTAGTTGAGTTAAGACAACTACTTGTATTAAGCTATATATATATATATATATATATATATATATATATATATATATATATATATATATATATATATATATATATATATGTGTGTAGTTTTTTTTTTAGAATTTTTTAAAGTTATCATTAAATGCTTTATTAATTACAGGTGAAAAAATTGCGAGCGCAACTTTTGAACTCCACTAAAGAAAAATACCACAGTATACAAAGATTACATGTAAGTGTTAATTCGTTTTTGGTCTTCACTTATTATAATGAAATAATTGTTTTTTTTTTTGGGACATAAAAGAGCATCATCTAGTTTCATGGTTTCATAATAATATTCCAATTTAAATAAAAATACACTCATTTACGGGATTCCTCCGTAATGTTATTAAATATAAATAAATATGTTGGGACATTAACACAGCACCACCAAGTTCCATGGTAAGCTACGAGTCTTGTGTTATGGATACCGGATAGTTGATACACTACATATATATAACTTTAAACACATACATATTATAAATATAAACACCCATGACTGGAGTACAAACATTCGTGCTCATCATACAAATGAATGCCCCTAGCGGGACTCGAACCCGCAACTGCTGGCATAGCAAGTACGGTCACTACGAACTGAGCCAAACATGTAGTCTAGCAATTTTTGAATTTACTTATTATTATAAAATAATTATTATTACTTATTACATAAAATATTTTATATTTTTCAGGAAACTGAGAAAAAAGAGCGTCGTAAGAGAGAAGTTAACTATCGAGTAAGTTTTTAAGCGTAATCTATGTTCTGTAATGCATATATTTTAATTATTAGCTTGATACGAATTTTCATTCATTCATTTACTTGTAAGTAGTAATGACTCTCATGAGCCCAGTGGTAACGCGCTCGCTTGGGAAACGGAGTGAAGCGGATTCAAATCCCGGGTCTCGCACCTCTGATATTTTCATGTGCGAATCATTTCTAACATGATTACTACTTGTCTTAAGGTGAAGGAAAACATCATGAGGAAACCTGCATGTCTGAGAGAACCTAGCAATTTTCGAAAGACTTGTGAAGACCACCCACACACACACTCACAGCGTGGTGAACTATGGCCTGATACCCCTTATATTCAAGGGAGGCCCGTGCCCAGCAGTGGGACGTTAAAAAGGGCTGAATACGACTAATGACTCTAGCTAAAACTTAAACTAACCAAAATTAACAATATTAAAAAAACCAATAAAAGCAAATCGTCTATTCGTCACCGATCACACAATATTTGCAGAGTATTATAATAATATTCCAATTTAAGTAAAAACACACTCATTTATGGGATTTTCTCGTAATGTGTATTTTTAAATTTAAATAAATAAATATGTTGGAACATTAACACACAGCACCATCTAATTCCACGGTAAGCTACAAGGCTTATGTTATGGATACCAGATAGTTGATACACTACACATATACATATAACTTTAAATACATACATATTATAAATATAAATACCCATGACTGTAGTACGAACATTCGTGCTCATCACACAAACGAACCCGCGACCGCTGGTACAGCAAGTAGGGTCACTAGAAACTGAGTCAAACGTGTCGTCGTGTTAGAATATGTTTACAACAATTAGATCTTTAGAAAAGTCCCTCAAAGAGACCATTTGGAGATTATGAATCATTTAACACTTCCTTTCTTTAAAGCAATTACATATTTCAAATCACTGATTGCATCACACTGACAATACGCTCGAAAGAGTTTAAAACTATCTCGCCTTTTTTGTTATTTTTTATTAATTTAATTTTCAGAATATTCCAGAAGCTCCGAGATTACCGGACCTAGATGTTAAAAGTTTCCCAAGTTACATACAACGAATGCTAGCAAACCGACCTGTAAGTTTTTTTTTTATAACTATCACAACGTAATCTATCTATTACTTATAATAGAATTCTAACTAAATCGAATCTGAACATTAAATATTTTTTGGAAAATCTTATTGAAATAGTCATTATTATCGATACAAAGGCCGAATCTATAGTTTTTCGAATTTTTGTCTGTCTGTCTGGAAAAGCATCACAAGAAAACCATTGGACAGGTTTTGATGAAATTTTGTATGATGACAGCTGGATATCCGGGTCAACATATAGGATAGTTTTTCCTGCGAGCTGCATCTTTTATAATGCATGTATTTAGAAGTTTGAAATGTACATGTTACTTTCAGATTTTTGGCAATGATGAGAAATCAAATACCAAAAACGAATATGACACAAGTCTGATTGATAAAATGTCTGGTATATTTCCTCCTGACAACACTGCTTCTGGTAAAGCCAAGACTTACGGATTTAAATACAATCAAGCTGGAAGTGCTTCGTGGAATGTAAGTAGATAATACCTGCCAATTCAAAATTCTTAAAAATCAAAGACCATATATCATAGCGGCCGCATCATATAATAATATACTTTTATTAGTAATCGTTTATTTAAGATTATTGACCTTTTATGAATCACAAATTGGTATCTCAGGCTTTCAGAAATAGTAAATTGATAATGAAAATATAGTTTCATTTTTAAATCAATATAAAACTGTTTGGAATTACGACTTTATAAGCCAATTATCATTATATGTACAGATATAGATACAGGATTAGCACAACAAGCATCGTTTTGTACTTCTCGCTATTATGTTTGGATAAAAAACCAAACAGTAAAATGATATAGTACTGTACAATTATATTTTACTATCTATATTTACCAAAAATATTTTCAGGATTTATATAAAACCCAAAATCATCATAAATCAAACGTCCCAAATGTTTTGGATCTATCGGGATCACAAACGAACAATCCGTATCAAGTACAAAAACCGACTATTGATATTCGAGATAATATTATCCCTGAAGGAGATGAAACGTTAAACAAAAATAAAAAAGAAAACTATCAATCTCCCATCAATATTATCCCATCTCTAGATATAAATTTACCGGCCGAAAAAGACCACGATGAAATAAAAAAATATACTGAAGGTGAAAAACATAGTAATACAGAATCTAAAAACAAAGAAAATGTTAACACAAATTATATCGATAATGGTTTTGATATGAAAGATAGATTAATAGATATGTTACATAATATAGATAGCAAGTTATCAAATGGAAAGAAACCAAAAACATATGGTATGAGTTTAAAGAATGATAAAGGAGAAATTTGGAATGTAAGTACAAATAATTTTTTTAAGCAATCACGTTCAACAAAAAATAAAGTCTTAAAATTTCTGTCATGTTCGTCCATATGCCACACGTCTATAGCCATAAATACTTGTAAATTAAATGTTGAAAGCTTTTATGTGGTATAGATTTCTCAGCCTTAAGAGTGAGCCTAAAATTACACATTCTTGTCTGGTTCATTTTTATGTGTTGTCACAGAATGTCATTTTTGTAAGCTATACAGAGTGTACAGTATATCTTTGTTAATTGAAATTGTTTTTCATTCTAGGATATTGCAGGGGTCCCATCGATGAATATTGACAATACACATAATGAAGATGCATTAGAAAATGAATCCATAAATGACCCAAATAAAATTAGTAATATTGATTATGTAAAAGAAGATAATGTCAATAATAATAAAGACAATGACGAAAAAACCCCTAATATATTTGAATCGGCCAATGAGCCAAATAAAATTAATAATTTTAATGATGCGAGAGAAGTTATGGATTCATTTCATGATGATAATAAGAAAGAATTAGACAATTATGACAAAAGCAATCCTGATGAGCAAAGGGCTTCTATACACGAAGTAAATAATAATGCAGAAAAAACGCCTTATAAAGAAAATCTTTTTAATGTAAGCAACAAGTAAACATTCGAAGTAGAAATAACAAATATTATATAAACAAGTTTTTGTAATATTAAATAATTTCTAACACTAAAGGTTGTTTTATTTCACAGGTGCCACCACCAGCGCCAAAAAATCCCGATTTTAAATTTAACGAACAATTCATAACATCAACTAACAAACCAGAAGTGAGTTACAAGCGAGTAAACGAAATTGTACAACATACTACAGGAATTCCCAGTATTCCTTATTTTACTCAAAGATCTACAGAAAAATCAATAGAAGTAACTGAAAAACCAAAAATTGAAGAATCTAAAATAGAAAAAGAGCATCAACCAATAGATAATGAAGATCTCAGGCATAAAATTGAAGAGTCTTTCGATAATATTATAAAGCAGTTCCCAAAACTAGAACCAATGAGAGAAGAAACTACAGGTGCAGATGTTTCTAAGAAAAATGACGTTAGAAATAATAACAACAAACCAAGAACTTATGGAATGCATCTAGAGGGTGATCATGGGGATGTTTGGAATGTAAGTATTTAAAGGAACCATATATGTACATATTTACGTAAAAAGATAAAGCATACAATTAGTCATATTCATTCATTACTTATAACACAACCATCGTAAAAAATATTTTAATATAATTTGTATGGTTCATTTCACAGGATCTTACAAACCCAGGAACTCATGTGAATGTGGGAGATTTAGAAAATATGAAAGTGACTGAAGTAAGTAATGTAATATACTATACTAGCGACTCATCCTTGCTTCGCTCGAGTTTGTCCATCCATCCAAACTTTCGCGTTTATAATATTAATGGGAAATACTGGAATTGGCGATGAGCAAATTTTCTTCTAGCAAGTCTCGGAACTAGCTTCAACCGATAAAGTCACTATTTAGTACGTGTAGTGTGAATAATGTTTATAGATTTATAGCTCAAATTTAAATTTAAATACGATAAAGTAATAAGATCTGTTACGAAGATTTAGTAGTGATGATAACAGGATTCAGTTAGTTTCATAAACAGACTTTATATTAAAGTTATAATTTTTTTTCAGTAGGTTATTAAATTAAAAAAATAGACATTAATTTTGTTTAATCACGTTTTCTGTGTCCATTTCTTAATAATACAAATATAAAATTACAGCCAAGCGTAGACGAAGTAATACCTAATTCAAATATAGTAGAAAATCATTCAGAATCTCCAATTCAAACTACACAAATGAATTATGAAAAAAAATCAGAAACAACTACAAATAAAAATGACGAAGAAATCACAGAGGAACCAACAACTACAACTACTGAAAAACATAACGTAACAGAGGAAAAAAATAATGGAACTACTCAAAGGTCAAAAGATAATGAACTGGATAATAAAAAAGACTGCAATTGTAAAAACGATACTTTGAATAAGGTATTTTATTTTGTATCATTTTTGATTAATTTAGTTCAAAGTCGCTAGCTTAAGAGGATAACTAACTACTTACCCTCGCTTCGCTCGCGTACGTCTCTAGATACGTTTTAATTTTTTTGAGCGGAACCCTAATTCTTTTTCTAAAATAAAAGTAGCTTAAGTTACTCCTTATCATATATATCAGCAATCTCCCAGTAAAAGTCCCGTCAAAATCAGTCCAGCCGTTTCGGAGATTAACCGGAACAAACAGATAGATAGACAAAAATTTAAAAAATTGTGTTATTCTTGTAACGTATATTATTTCATATGCATTTTCTAAAATCCTTTTGTTTCGACATTATAACAGACACTTCAATTCTATTTATCTGTATAGATTTAAAATATTATTTGATATTATTTTTATTCTTTGCAGGATAAAGCCGAATCCGTTAACAATAACAACGAAACAGAACCCATTAAAGTTACTTTGGATGATTTATTAAAAAAGGTAAATTAAATTATATATTTTTAAAAAAACTTAAAATAGGTATATAGTATTTTTTTAAATAATAAAATAATTAAACTTTTTTATCATTTTAGGATGAATTTTGGCAGTGGCTTTCAAATTGGACAACAACTTACATGGATGTTCTAAATGAGGTACATACTTCTACTCCAAATAGTAAACCATTAATTAAAAGCTAATATTTTAACTTTTCATGCTTGAAAGTTGTATTTTCTAACAATTTTATTTAATATTGCAGCGAGTCGAAAAACTAGTTGATGACAAAGTTGCCAAGTATTTTGAAAACAATGATAAAAAGAATAACAATGATGAAGTTGATCCAGATAAAAAGAATAACAAAAATAATGATACTATTAAAATCAATAAAGAAACAGACGATAATGAAAACGATGACTCTTCAAAAAAAGTAAATATTGATGAACATAAAACTAATAACAACAATTCAAAAATTAATAATGATGATATGAAAAAATCAAACAAAACCGACATAGAAACTGGAAAAGATATAATAAATAGTAACGAAACTGGGACAGATACAGAAAAATCAGACCTAGAACCAATTTCTAAAGACAACATAAATAGCACAGATGATGATATGAGTAAAAAGAAAAATAATAGTTTACCTTTTAATATTAAATCAGATACAATATATGGAAATACTATAGACAGCGACCATGTCACTAACATTTTCGTATTCTACCCTAACGTAAAATTAAATAAAACTATTGACCAATTAGAACCTCTTATAAATAAAACTAATTCAGACATTTCAGTTATAGCAAAACCAGCAAATGTAATTCTTGATGAAAGGATAGGAATATCTGAGGATGATAAAGATAACCAAATAAACAAACCTCATACTTCAACAGAAATATCAAGCAGTACCCAATCAAATACAGAAACGATTATTGGCATTACGTCCACAACAGAAAGTCCAACAACAACAGAAGAACTGGCAAAAGGTACACCTAAGGGTATAGAAGAATCCAAAAATAAAATTTACCCTAAACCATCAAATGATCATATTATTGATTTGAAAGAACCAGAAAAAGCAACAAAGAAGATGCAAAATGATAACCAAATCACAACAGAAACGCCAAAGTCTGATCATAACGAGACAACAACAGACGCAACTAACACAGAAAATATCAAAAAAACAACAAAATTGAGTGATAAAGAAGCGACAACAGAATCAATCAAAAAAGAAAGTGAAAAAGAAACGACAATTCTTAGTGATAAGGAAGTGACAACAGAATTACCCAAAACAGAAACAACAAAACTTAATGACAAAGAAACCACAACAGAATCAATTAAAACAGAAAAAGACAAAGTAATAACAAAACATGATGACAAAGAAATAACAAAACATGATGACAAAGAGATAACAACAGAATTAAGTGAAACAGAAAATAATAAACAAACAACAAAACCTGATGATAGTAAAACAGCAACGCCATCATCTGTTAACAATGACAACAATGTAACAACAACTGATAAGTCCGAAATTACTACAGAATCCAGTACTGATAAGCCATCAGATTCTAATGTGACAGAAAAGTCGAAGGATTCAAAAGATACTAGTGATGTGACAACTACTGAAAAATCGACTGGCAGTTAATCTAAATACAAAATTCTTGTTCTTCCACTTTATTTATTTGTGACATAAAATATTCTACTTATTTTTTTAAATTGCTTCAACTATTTTCATCAAAAACAAATGCAGCATATTAAGGCGTACAAAGTTGCTGAAATCAATTTATTGGGTTAGTATATAATAGGTTATTGGCTAACATTTGGTCACATAGTCTTTTGAATCTGAAAAAAACGTGTGTGTGTACATAAGTACGCACGTAAGAAGTCATAATTCTTTGGCGTAACAGAACAAATATAGCTAAAGATTTCGTCCCGTATGTCACAACTCTCTGTTTCTAAAAGGTATGCAGATAACCTCATCATGTCGCTTTTTGGCTGTCGGTGTGCGCGCGCATCGTAAAAATTATATCTCACAATTTTTTCCAAACGTGCCAAAAGATATTAAACTTCAAAAATTATTGGACAATAAATACTACCAAGATGGGAAAAGTTTTATACTGACATAAATTATTTATTAATAACTGTCATGTAAATAATCTAGATATATTATAAAATTATTTAATTAGTTTTTAATTAAATTTTCCAAATATATTTATAGATATTTTATTTTGATACCTTTTTATTTTGATTTCAAATACAACTGCTTATTGGAAGATACATTACGAGCAAGTAGCGCAATTTTAATCGATACTTGTTTAGCTTGATTTTAGTTTATAAAAGTACTCGCTAGGCTCCGTCACTAGATACCTTTAACGCTTTAATACAATATCTATACATATAATAAAATTGCAACTAAGCCAAATCTGTACATTAAATATTTTTTGGAAAATCTTATTGAAATAAATATTATTATCGATACAGAGGCCGAATCTAGTTTTTAGAATTTTTGTCTGTCTGTCTGTTACCGCATCACGGAAAAACCACTGGAGGGATTTTGATGAAATTTAGTATGATAGCTGGTTATGCGAGTCAACATATGGATACTTTTTACCGCGGGAAAGTATCTCATTTCTGAGAAAAATACAAAGACTGCAATGTAAGAGTATACTAAAACGTAAAAACGGTTTTTCGTCACCTGAACGCGGGCGGAGCCGCGGGTAATGCTAGTATTTAAATAAAAAATAAAACGAAGCATAAATTTAAAAACATTTATTTCTAGACAAATAAATTACATTTCTGTATGGCACGATATGATTCATATATATCGAATATAAAAATAATTGTTATTTGTTGTTATTAGTTTTTTTAATCTGTACTAAGCATTAATGGAAGGATGGACAAATGAATAGCCATTCTTATTCTATTTCAGTAGTAATTAAAAGAAATGTTAATTTGAACGAATAAATAACACTTTATAATATTAATATAGGAATATAAGAACAAAAAAGTATTACGAGTATATGAAAAAATAGATCATGATAATTCCATTTTTTGTCTTTTTGCCGTCTGAAATATTACCCTATGACGCCATCTTGGTTCAATACGCTTGCTAAAGTTTATTAACGTCTAATAAAATATTACTTTGCTTTTTTTTGCTACAAATTAAATTTAAATTTAATAAAAAAAAATGGTTAAATTTATTTTATCCAATAGTTTTAGGAACCGGTTTTTATTAAAGTATTTTATCTATGGCTAGAATTAACAGCGATCCAAGATGGCGCTTACTTTTTGTCATTTTAGAACTGATATGTTATAGGAAATACTTATATAACTTACTTTATATTATTGATATATTCTTAAAAATGGCAGTTACGTTTCGATTTCACTTAATTCCGAATAAAAATTTTCGTTTTAAAAATAGAAAAGATATATGTATTCTGATATAGACACGATAAATTAGTCTTAGAGTTAAATAGAAGTGAGTTTATACTTTTTGTTTGTTTGTTTGTCTGTTAATATTCGGTACTTATTATTATAATTCTATTATATTTTTCACTCTCAATAAAAACCTTTAATATTTCTTTGTTACAAAAATAATTTTATCGTTATTATATATACAGATAAGTAAAATTGTAGTGTCTGTTTGTAATATAAAAATAACAGCTTTTTAATAAATCCGAAACGACTGGACTGATTTTGATGGGACTTAGGCTACTTTTATTTGAGAAAAATAATTAGGGTTCCGCTCAAAAAAATTAAAACGAAGCAGAAAGTCGCTAGTATTTCTGAAAAATAGACATTAAAAAATAAAAATAAATCAGATAAAAATATGAATTCATTTATTTAAGTTTTGAATAGGAACTAAATGAACTGTGCTTTAATAATATAGGTAAGTAAAGTTTATACCTAAAAGAAATATTTCATTATAAAGTTTTACATAAATAATAATATTTTATTTATTAAAATATTATTTATTGTTTAAATAGCTGCAAAGTGTTTTTTCAATTATCATCATGTTTATTCCCTCCACGACCGCGGACACGCCGGTGTTACAGTTAACAATAGATTTCTTAGAAATTTACCTGGAGGTGTTATATATTACTCAGACTAAGGAAGAGTGTCATATAACTAAACATGATGCCAAATAACGTTTTAAAACAGAGTACAAATATTATTAGAATATTATTTGATAAGTAAATAAATGTTAATAAATAAACATTTCTAAAGGATTTTATTATAATAAAGAAAAAAACTTTAATAAACTCATGCTATCTCCCTTTAAGGGAAAGATAAATCGTGCTTAAACATACAAAAGAATAAGTATTATTTTTATTATTCATATTTTCTTAACTAATACATATATAAAATTTGCCTTTTTGAAAAAAATAAAGAATCTGCATGGCAACATCGAGAGTAGTAGCATAAACATCAAAACACGCTACTATTTTTGACTTTTGACATTTATTTTGGCGGACTCCGTCTGTATAATTCTTTAGTCTGTGACATATTACTGATATTCTATAAACAACATAAAGGCTTTCATGACACAAATAAAAAAAAATATTTTTTATTTTTTAAATTCATCATGATCATGATATTTTTAGCCGCACAGATACAAAAAACTGGTTATGTAATGAAAAGATTTAAAAATTCATTAATCTAATTAAAAAAAATACACTGTGAATAGCCTTTAAAATTAAAAAAATAAATAATTAAAAAGTTGTATTACTAATACATCTTTTTTTATATAAAATATTTTTTAATCAGTAAAATTTTAACATTTAGATATTTTTTTTACAAATGGAAGGCATTGTATATTGAGCTATTATAAGAACAATAAATATAATTAACATTTAATAGAATTTAATGTAAGAGTTATAGAACTGGCAACACTTGTATAAAAATATATTTAATTCTAGAAGAAAAAAAAACATTTTTTTCTTCCTTCATCTGTATTACCGTAATTAATAAACAAACATCGCTTAATTTCGCATTTTCCATACATTTAATTAGTGTATATTTTACAGTTCAGAAACATACCTTCTATTAAATTACAGAGTTATAATATGGCAGTCATAACATCGACAAAAATAACTTTAAAAATACAAATTTTATAACATCCTACTAATATTATAAATGTGAAAGTTTGTAAGTATGTATGAATGTTTGTTACTTTTTTACGCCAGAACAGCTGAGCAGATCTGGATGAAATTTGGCACGGAGATAGTTTATAGTCTGGAATAACACATATTTATCTCAGAAAAATGTACAGTTCCCGTGGGATAGATTTGTTTTGTCTAGGGACGAATCCGAAGCGAAGCGAGTGAGTGGCTAGTTATAGAATAAATCTATTTATTTATTTTTTATATAAAAGAGAAAAATCCATGCACAATCCAATCCATATACCTATATAGTTCTGGTGAAACAAATAATATTTACTTATCTTTCTATCTATGAAGTATCCGACTTGCCATAAATATTATTAATTTCATTTAAAAAAATGTGTTTAAAATATAAAAAATAATAAAAGAACAAAACCATTTTGATAATTCATCAATATACATATAAATTAACGTCCAGACGATAAATTCCATGAAAAAATACATCTAATTCCAGAGTGAAAGAATATTAAATAAATTGGCACAATTTTGATCTTATAATATTAGTAAGTACATGGAATACAAAAGAAAGTCAACGAGTTTGATATCTATATTTAAGAGAAGCTTTTTTTCTTATATTTTACAAAAAAAAAGAATTGAAATAGTTAAAAATATATATTATTAACACATACACAAAACAATCGATATGTAATAAAAATCCTTGCATTAAAAAAAATAGTATAAAAATATATGGCGGGAAAATTTGACATAACATTTTTTAATCTATGACACTTATAAAATAATTAATAGATAAAAAATATTCTTTATATTACATACTATGCTCTTCTTAATGTAAAATATTTTATAATCTGTAGTAAAATAAATTTCAAAGTATATTATTAAAATATTATTGTATGAAATAAAACTACCATACACGTGTATAAGACATACAAATCAATATGAATTTATTTATAATCTGTACCTATTAATTATCTGTGATTCTCAATTCGGCCAGTTCTTGTTCTTCGTCTACTTCGTCTTCGTCGTCTGATCCGTGGACGGATGCAGCGGGGGTTGTTGCTCCTTGAAATTAAAAAATAAATAAAATTAATATATAATATATAAAAAGTAGGTAAATAGGTGGAATAATGATTAGTAAAATCTAATAAAATCTAATAAAGAGATTACTCTCATTTTTCACTTTTTTTGTTAATTACGAATTATATTTTTTTAAATGAAAAAATATGTAAATAATAAACCTATCATAATATGAGAAAACAAACGACTTATAAACCCCAGATACAAAATAACAGATGAAAACACTCAAATCTACTTCAATTGTGTATAGTCTGTGCAAAACCATTTCAATCGTGTATAATCTGTGTACAATCCACTCATAAAAAGTGCTCGTAGTGACTAAATAAAAATAAAACTACATCTAAATACCACGTAAACCCTGTATGTTTTGAAATTTTTTTTTTTATCAAGTAACAAAATTCAATTTTTTTGCCATTATTATCAACGCAATTTAAAACAAAACGATCAACCATCACCCTTTTTAGCCGACTTCACAAAAGAGGTACTTATTTGCCAGTATTTTTTGTCTTTCTTACACGACATCTTCGACAATTATATAAATATACGTAATTATCATATATTTTTTTTATGAACACATTATGTATATGTACTTCAAGTAAATATAAAAAAACAACAATCCATCCATAAATGCGAAATAACTAATTTCATGAGATTTTGAAATCGGTGTACTATTTTTTATACAATATTCCCACACAATAAAAAAAACTACCAAAAAACCCCTATATCAACCTTTCAACCGACCGAGTCATTATCAACGCAATCGCCCAACTTCGCTATCAATTGATCAATCTGTTCCGTCACAGCTTCCGTCAACGGTTCCAAAAAATCATTTGGCGTTTGATAATCCTCTTGTTCCGATTCTGTAAATTCTAGATTCTTCTCGAATGTTACTTCTAAATCTGTAGCACTCTCTATGTCGGTAATTTCTAAAATCTCCAACGATTTCCGGACTATTGCATTCCTTTTTAAATCTATATCGGTCTGTACTTCTTCATCTTTCGTCTCTTTCTGGCGTTCGATTTCTTTGTGATATGACGATGTAAGCCACGAGGTTTCATGGTGGCTTCGACGCACTAATAAAAATGATTTTAGCTAGGTTTTTATATATAATATGTGTATATCCCCAGGAGGAAACAAAAACCAAACTCGCAAAAACTCAAAATTCTTTCGAAGTGTCATATTAGGTACATTTAGGTAAGCATATTTCTGGTATATTGTAATCTATACTAATATTATAAAGAGGTAAAGTGTGTGAGTTTGATAATCTCTCTGAAGCTCTCTCTGTGGTAACCTCCGGATCTACTGAACTTTCTTCTTTTGAGACTTTGGGAAGGACATAGGATACTTTTATCCCGGAAATCATCCCTTAAGGGGGTAAAAATGGGGATGAAAGTTTGTATGGGGAATCAAGCTAAGGGTGACCCGAGCGAAACGAGAACTGAACGGATCTGAATGAAATTTGGCACAGAGATAGATTATAGTCTGGAGTAGAACATAAGCTACACTTTACCCCGGAAAAATGTAGTTCCCGTGGGATAGAGATGTATTTGTTTTCACTAGTAAATAATAAATGTCACTCACTAGAATGTGTAGGACTGGGTGGTTCGGAGATGGGGCGCGGGTAGTTGAACCTCTTCTCCAATTCCTGGTCCATGTGGTCCACGTAGTCTGGATAAACTGTTTTCAAAGCTTGCGCTCGCGCTTGACGATAATACTGTTAAAAAAAATGAGCGAAAATAATCAAAATTAAGCAGCGGTGGATAAGTGGTAACGTGTGGTATGGAAAATTAAGAGAAGCGGGTTCAAATCCCGGTTCTTGCATAAATAGTGAATATGAAATAGTATGAAATATCTTCTAAGCACTCAGTCATAATTAATTTAGTCTGAATGAAATAATCATTTAAAAAAAATCTTATTGTTAATTCATTGATATATAAAAACATAGTTAAACATTTCCTAACAAATATCTCTTCATAAAGTGGCGTCGACATGTGACGTTAAGTCAAACCAAGGAATACAATACAAAAATCGAAAGTTCCAATTGTCTAAACACAAATTCGAACTTACGCCCACCACATAAAGTACTTTTTCAAATGAAACAACGTGCGTTTTAATTTTGTCATCTGAAAAGCAAGGAACAAAAGAGATTTGATAAAAGCGCAATTCAATTTCGATTTGTGCACTTCTTTTGAGGAGACTTTTGAGACACTAACTGTGAATCTTGAGTTTTTGTATATCAATGTGTTGTTTTTTTTTTATTATTTACATACATATTTAAATATATAAAAAATATATACTTTAACAACTCACAATGCCTAAGTTCCTCCAGTCCATGAGGTCTGACAATCTCTCCGTTCGATTCCTTTGGATAATACGTTGTCGACGTGTTAACCTGTGAAAGAATAATATAATAATAATAATAATTAATAAATAAAATATAATTAATGTTTGGATAAAAAAAGGTAATTGCACCACGAATTCCTATTGTACGTAAAAAAATAAAAAACCAGCTTAGTAAAAAAAAAAGATGCCGACGAATCGAGAACCTTTCTCCTTTTGAAAGTCAGTTAAAAACCAGCTCACTTAGTAAAAAACGAAAAAAAAACCTGCTTAATACTTTCTCTCTCTCTTAGATTTACGCGAATATTTGATATTTTAAATAAAACTATCTTTTCGGATTTTTTTGCGGATTTATTTGGATTTTTATGGTTCCGTTTCGAATGCTTTACAGCCATCATGGTCGCGGGAGAGACTAAGGTTTTAGACGTCTCAAAGGCATTATATAGTTGTTACAGACAGCCTACACACAAAATAAAAAAAAAACAATTCGCGAAAAAATCCGAAAAGACAGTTTTATTTAAAAAGCTGCTTAGTAAAAAATTAAAAAAAAAAACAGCTCACTTTGTAAAATCGTACATGTACTGGGCCAGCTGCTGCACGGAGCCCTCCAGCGAGATGTACCTGCGGTCCACTACGTATATGCCGTAGGACATCGGGTCCGCGATGTGTTCTTGCATGAAGCAGCCGAAACCTGGAAATAAACATGGTATAAGTATATTTTTTTTATTTATATTCAGCCTTTTTTGACGTCCCACTGCTGGGAGTGGGCCTCCCTTCAATACGAGGGGGATCAGGCCATAGTCTCCCACGCGGGCTAAGTGCGGACTGACTGAGCGTGCCTGCAGACAACTAGCTAGGTTCTCTCAGACATGCAGGTTTCCTCACGATGTTTCCCTTCACCGTAAGACAAGTGGCAATCATGTTGGAAATGAATGAATGAATACGCACGTGAGAATATCAGAGATGTGAGATCCGGAATTTGAACCCGCTTCACTTGGTTTTTCAAGCGACCGCGTTACCACTGAGCTACCATTGCCTTTTTATATTTTATTTACTTATTTATGTATACCCTTTATTTATTATCAATTCTGAATTTCTGGATTTATAAAATATTAATTAGCATTTTTCGAAATTCATCCCATAAGGGGGTAAAATAGGGAATGAAAGTTTGTATGAAACCTACCTTTCAAAAGTTTTTTTTTTTGTAATTTTAGCACGAGTTCTGCTAGTAACATATATATATATACTAGCGGACCCGACAGACGTCCTGTCTACACGTCTTTAATTTGAAAATTTCAAACTTTTTTTAATAATTTTTTTGATGAAAATTATTATTCAAATTGTGAATCTAAACCATTCCCAGATCCCCTTGAACACACACAAAAAATTTCATCAAAATCGGTCCAGTCGTTTGAGAGAAGTTCAGTGACATACACACTCACAGAAGAATTATATATATAAAGATAGCTACACAAACAACTTACCAGACAAATTAGTAGTAATACTTGGTATCCCCAAGACCGTGCACTCCGCGGGGGTGTAACCCCAAGGCTCGTAGTAGGAGGGGAACACCCCTAAATGGCAACCCCTCACGAACTCCTCGTAGTCCAGACCGAAGAGGGGGTTCGTTGATGTTAGAAATTCTGGGTGGAAAATTACCTAAAAGAGACATGTATGTATGTATTTAACCCTTTTTGACGTCCCACTGCTGGGGGTTGGCCTCCCTTTAATCCTCGGGTGATCTGATCATAGATTATATATTATTATTATTTCTAAGTTACAGCTATGGAGTTAAGAGCTATTATTATAAATGCGAAAGTAACTAACTGTCTGTGTGTATGTTACATTTTCCATTACGCTTAATCCACTGAACCGATTTAGATGAAATGTGGTATGGAGATAGTTTGTGACCCTGAGAAGGACATAGGATAGTTTTTATTGCAGAAATCATCCCTTAAGGGAGTGAAAAGGGGGGTGGAACTTTATATTGGGAATCAATTATTACTCAAGTAAGGGATTTATATCCCTTATTAACTCATTATATCTATGTACATATATTAGAATGGAGCGAAAAAATAAAAAAAAATATATTTATATTTTATTATATATATTTTAGCTTATTTAGCTTTTAAAAATAAATAATTAATATAAATTTTTGGTTTGAATTAAAAAAAAACTGTGTTTTTCAGTGAAACTTGAACAGAAACTGACTATATTCGTCCATTTTTGAATGTTTTCAAAGATGATCGGTCGAAAAAAAAAATTTCAAAAACTTTGTTTTTTTTACAAGCTACAAACCCTACCCTCAAGCTAAGAAAAAAAAAACCTTTTTTTTTCCACTCCACCCTATTGTATATAGTCTATCTATTCCATACGTTAGTATATATAGTACGTCAAAACGTACGTAAACGAACCCGAGCGAAGCAAATTAAAAAAAAACACCAACCTTAACTTTATCATTTACAGTGTTAAACAACTGACAACGACGTATAGAATTCAACACTGGATCACTCCAATCGTCCACCTGAAAAAAATAATAATAATAGCAATACTTTTATTGCTCATGGGTTTTGATTTTTAGAGCGGAACCCTAATTCTTTTTCTAAAATAAAAGTAGCCAGTGAAAGTTACATCAAAATCGGTTCAGCCGTTTCGGAGATTAGCCGGAACAAACAGACAGATTAAAATGTTTAAAAATTGATTTTTCTTATAAGTACCGTATATAATTACATATGCATTCAGTAAAAAGTAGTTAATTTGACATTACAGACAGACGCCTCAATTTTAATTATTATTGTAGATGTAATAAACCTTAGCATCAGTATGTTCATTAAAAGTTTTATTAGATGCATTAGCTGGATATTATTTCGGCATTTTAATTAAACGGCACCGTTTAATTAAAAAGCTAGGCCGCTAATCAAACGGCTGATTAAGCGGATTGGCTGCGACATATCTTACTCAGTGCGATTGGCCGCCGTGGCCGAAATCGGTTAGTAGGGCATTATATAAATAAATATGTTGTTGGGATATTAACACACATTACCAACTAGTTCCATGGTAACTACGAGGCTTGTGTTATGGATACCAGATAGTTGATACACTACACATATATTACTTTAAATACATACATATTATAAATATAAACACCCACGACTGGAATACAAACATTCGCTATTATCGCACAAACGAATGCCCCCAGCGGGACTCGAACCCGCGACCGCTGGCACAGCAAGTAGGATCACTACAAACTAACATGTAATATAAATAACTTACCACATTATGCGTAGTTATTGGAGGCAGACCGTCCCTTTGTAACGCGTACAAACATCTCTTGAGGCGGACCGTGTCGTCTTTGTGCAGGAGATCTGACGCTTCGGGGAGATGGCCTCTGAAGAATAAAAAAAAACTCGTATTTATGCAAATTATTTAAATATCCATACTAGACTTTGATTTAATAATATACTAGCGACTCACCCTCGCTCCGCTCGTGTTCGTCCCTAATTACGTTTTAACGGTTAGTATAGATTTCTCAGAGATTAGATATTTTCCCGCAGTAAAAAGTATCTTATACGTCGATCCGGATATACCGCTATCATCTTATCGAATTTCATCAAAATTCCTCAGTGGTTTTTCCATGATGCGGTAACAGACAGACAGACAGACAAAAATTCTAAAAACTTTAGATTCGGCCTCTGTATCAATAATAATTCTCCAAAAAATATTTAATGTACAGATTCGACATAGTTAGAATTTGATTATATGTATAGGTAAATAAACTAAAATAACAGTATTAGAGCAAAACATCTATACAGATAAAAAAAATTAAAGTGTCTGTATGTAATGTCAAAATAACAGCTTTTTACTAAACGCATATGAAAGTATATACGGTACTTATAAGAAAAAAAACCCTATTTTTAACATTTTGTCTGTCTATAAATGAATATTGTAACTAGGCTGAATCTGTACATTTAATATTTTTTGGGACAATCTTATTGAAACGGTCATTATCATCGATCTATAGGCCGAATTGGGTATAGAGGCCGTTTTTAGAATTTTTGTCCGTCTGTCTGTCTGTGACCGCATCACAAGAAAACCACTGGACAGATTTTAATGAAATTCGGTATGATGATGAACTGGTAATCAGAATCAACGTATTGGTTACTTTTTACTACGGAAAAATATCTCATCACTGAGAAATCTATACTAAACGTACACAAATCTGTGTGTCTGTTATAAATGTGAAAGTTTGTGAGTATACATGGATATTCGTTACTCAATCACGCCCGAACGGCTGAACGGATGTTCATGAAATTTGGTACAGACATGGATTATAGTCTGTAATAACACATAAGCTATTTATCCCGGGGAAAATGTACGGTTCCCGTGGGATAAGGTTTCTTTTTGTTTTTCTAGAGCTGAACCGCTAGTAAATAAATAAATTAACCCATTACCTGAGACATATATCGTAAAGACGCTCTCCGACGGCGCGCTGCACGTCCTGTATGGTGTCGCGCAGCGCCTTGGTGACGGCGTGGCCGCGGAGGCTCTCCACGTTGAAGTTGTTGGTCTTCGCGGGGAAGATCAGGAACGCTACCACCGTCATCTCGGACCCTGACGACTGACCGGACATGACATTTATTTATATATATATATAAATATATATATATATATACAATAAAATATATGCTATCTATACTAATACTTTCGTTCTTCTCCCGCGACCATGATTGCTGTTAAGCATTCGACGAATTGTCGGAAACCAAAAATCAAAATAAATCCACGAAAAAATCCGAAGAGATGTTTTTTATTATATAAAAATATAATTTACAAATACATAAGCATTTATACTGGTTGAGTTCGTTATTTGTGGAAAAATAATAATTTATAAATACCATAGTAATTAAATGCTGTTTCTAAGTAAACACATTTGAGACCGGCTGGACCGATTTGGATAAAAAATTTAAAAGTCCAAATACGGTTTTTAAGGAAAAGTTTTGTGGAAAATTGGGAAATATAAAATAATTTGAAAATACTTTTATAATCTATACAATATTTATATAGACACAAAGATCATAAATATTTTTTTTCTCTGTCGGATCGTCTAGTATATAAATAAAAAGAATATTAAAATCTGTTTTTAATCTCAGAGACCATACTGACATTACGTGGGTTGCCAGTTTTTTACAATTCTTAAATAGAGATGTGCCACTATTGAAAATTAACGTTAATAAAATCAAATATTGATTATTTTTATAATAAGTTATCCTGAAATAATGCGTAGGTACTTATTTGAAACGTAATCGTAAAAAATTAATAACGTAAATTTAAATGTAATAATGTGAATTTTAATGATACACTTTAGAATTACAAAACTTTAAAGCGGATCGTCAAATAAAGATAAAAAGATACGATTCAATAAAACCGGTATCGTACGTAACGACAACACTGCAAAAGAGAGCTGGCAACATTATTTGTAAATTTAATATTTGCATGTGTCAATTTACTCTCGGAGATTTAAAAAAAAACAGACTTTACCTTCAAATAATGGTTCAATCTGGCCAAAGCTTCAATGAAAATATCCGCTCCTTTGTTTCCAAACTCATATCGACCCGCGATAAAGAAGTACAGTGTCTTATCTAAGTCGAAGTTGAAATGCCTGCAATAAAAAAAATCTCTCAATTAGAATAAACGTGTTGGTTCATCAATTTAAATATTAAAATTATTTTGTTCTATTTTTGAAGTTATACTTCTTTTAGGACGTTTAGAAAAAAAATTTGAGGGTAAAATTTTTACGATGCGCGCGCACACACCGACAAATAAAAAGCGACTTGATGAAGATAGCTGCATTCCTTTTACAAACAGAAAGTTGTGACATACGGGATGAAATCTTTAGCTATATTTGTTCTGTTACGCCAAAGAAGTAGTAACTCCTTACGTGCGTACATAAGTACACACATACGTTATTTTTATATTAATAAGCTAAATTAAAAAAAAATCTAATACTTCTTATTTTCTATCTCATTTTTTTGTCCCTTTCACTCCTGACTAACTCGAAGCACTCTAATAAATAAGTAAAATTTTAAAATAAAAAAGCCCTCTCAAGGATTCATTTATAAAAAATAAATATTAATAATCCATACTAATATTATAAATGCGAAATGTCTGTCTCTTAACCGATTTAGATGAAATTTGGTATGGAGGTACTTGGAGACCCTGGGAAGGACATAAGATAGTTTTTATCCCGGAAATCATCCCTTAAGGGGGTAAAAAGGGGGGTGGAACTTTGTATGGGGAATCAATTATTTCTCAAGGAATATAAAACTCATCATACCTATGTATATATTATGTATGTATATACATACAATCTATCTATTTCATTCTAACCGTCAAAACGTACCTAGGGACATACAATTTAACCTATACTAATATTATAAAGAGGCAGAGTTTGTTTGTTTGAACGCGCTAATCTCACGAACTACAAATCCGATTTGAAAAATTATTTTTGCATTAGATAGCCCGTTTATTGAGGAAAGCTATAGGCTATATATCATCCCGGAAAATGCACGGTTCCCGTGGGATAGACGTATGACTTATTTTTGTCTAGGGACGAACCAGAAGCGTAGCGAGGCTAAGTCGCTAGTAAATTATAAACAAATCTTACCCATAGAAATGCCCTCTTGCGAATTCGTTTATCTTGTTCTTGGCTAGAGCGTGTAGATTTTGAAACTCGTGCAACGCCGAGAACTTCTTCACGTTGAGACCATTTGGCGTGATGAAGTCTGGCTTCCTTTTGAGGAGATGTTCTGCCTCATAACCTGGTGGAAAAAAATATATTTAAATAGTTAATATGTAGTTACGTTATTTATTTATTTATAATAAAGGCTTACTAACTAAATTTACATAAAACTTGTATTTAACATTATAATTTTACCTATTTGTATATAAATTTAATTTAAAAGTATCCACAGCTTTTTATAGAAGTATTTCATTAAAATTTTATGTGGTTACGAGTATATAAGGAGCCATTTCAGTTGTACAATAAACAAAAGTCCAATCTAAATATTTAAATACACTTACTTTTTAAATAAATTTAAACTATCAGAAAAAATGTCTATATCACATTGCTGAAATATAAAATTATATAATTTAAAGCTTTGTAAGAGTGGTGAATTATATATAGTTATACCTAAATAGGTACATTGTTTTCAGAATATCATAATAATTATAATCAATTAATAATATTTTACTGATAGTGATTTTTTCTCGTTAATATATGGAACCACAGAGAAAATCATACATTTCTAAAAATATTAAGTAGGGATACTAGTCTTTCATCCCGGCAAATAAAATCTATCCCGTGTGATTTGTAAAAAAAATAGTTTACAAAGAACACTTGTCATATGTTTTAAAAAAAACTATCCACAAAAAACATACAATCAAAAAAATCTCTTAAAAATATTTATTGTTTTAATGTGTTTTTATTTTATTTCTTTGCATGAGTATTTGTAATAAAAAGATTATAATTAGTACTCCTAAAACTCATACACTAATTCTTCCATCTCTTTCATTTATATCAAAATAAAACCGCGAAAAAAGTATTTTTTAAAACGTTGGAAATGATTAGCACATGAGAATATCAGAGGTGCGAGACCCAGGATTTGAACCCGCTTCACTCAGTGTCCCAAGCGAGCACGTTACCACAGAGCTACCAATGCCAAACATACATACATACATACATACATACATACCAGTAATATCTGAGACCGTCGTGAACACATGTGTCATGTGCGCGGCGGCGCGCTCCATACAGTAGCGGTGGTATATCTGTCTCTTTCCCGCCTCCTCGTCCACTGAGAACTAGAGCGAGACAGACATATATTAGATTCTTATTAGAAGACTAGCGATTACCTATTTTGTACGCGGATTTTGCTTACAATTTCTTGGATTTACAATTTTTTGTGCGGGTCTCTAATTCTTTTTATTAAATGAAAAGTCTAAATTACTCCTTATAACCTAAATATCTGTCAGTGAAAGTCCCGTCATAATCGGTCCAGCCGCTTCGGAGATAAGGCGTAAAAGACAGACATTTTTTAATTTATTTATTTTTTTCCTTAAATGTACCGTAAATAATTTCATATGCATTTAGTAAAAATATATTATTTTGACATTACAAACAGACACTTCAATTTTATTTATCTGTATATGATATAGTATAGAGAGTATAGATAAAATTATTTGGATATTGTTGGTACAAAAATACTAAAATCGCAATTAAAAATGGGTGGTGGGGGTAAGAGTGTGAAAAATACTTTACGACCTATTCTCATACCTACCAAATATACAAAAAAAATCATTAAAATCAGTCAAGCCGTTTCGGTGGAGTGCGACCACAAACACCGTGACATGAGATATTTATATATTAGATAAAATAATTAATAAATAAACAAAACCAATATTACCTTATCCAAATTATTATAGAAATCTGTGTTGCCAGCACACAAATATCTTCCTAGCAGTGTTGCGTGTGTAGTGAATACTGTTGCTACGTCCACGTGACGTACTCTAGAAAAAATAAACAAAAACTATACTGGCTCAAACAAAAGAAATATATAAGGAACGTTTTAGAATATATATGTAACAAATATGTAGCCCGTACAAAAAAAATACATTAAAAAATATTGTACTTTCAAAAACAACGGGTAAACATCATCGATCAAAAAAGTACTAGATACACAATCAGCGACAAAAAATGTCCTCACAGAATGAGCGCTCATATGTATATTTGAGCACGCTTTTAATTTTTTTTGTGTGAAAAACAACTTTAAGCATTGTATTTAAGATTCAATTTACGTTTTTGTATATTTATTTGAACTGGCATAATTACTAGCTAATAAACTGTTCTACTATTATATAAATCAGCGGTTCCCAAACGGTGGTCCGCGGAACCCTAGGGTTCCGTGGAAGAGTCACAGAGGTTCCGAGTTGTGTCCGAGAGTTAAATAAAACGTTGTCAGACATGACACGTTTAATTTTAGGGCTATTATAAATAAATATGTAAAGAAAATTCAGTCACCAAATAGTCGGGTTATATTTTTGGTACAATAAATATTATTATAAGTATTCATATTTTTCATTTATGATTTGTTCTTTCGAATCAAACACGAAAATATTCTAACTACAACACAATTAATTTAGTTATTATCAAAATGGAGATCCGTAAAAAAGTTATGATCAATTAGGGTTCCGTGGCCAAAAACAATTGGGAACATTATTAAATAAAACTATCTTTTCGGATTATTTCGCGGATTTATTTTGATTTTTGGTTCCCGACGTTTCGAATGCTTTACAGCATCCATGGTCACGGGAGAGTCTCTCCCGCAAAATAATCCGAAAAGATAGTTTTATTTAATAATGTCAAACATTCGCGTAAATCTAAGAAAGTATTACAATTGGGAACAGCTGAAATAAATGGAAAAAATTGTATATATGTAAGTAATCACAATAGACGAGAAATAGTTGAAGTCATACTCGTAGCCGCAATGTAGAAATAAAAAAGTGTGTGCGTGTATAGGAGTATGGGTGTGTATATGTATAATGTATATGTATGCATGTGTTTGTGTATGTGTGTGTGTATGTTTGCCATTACCTCAGTACGATAAGGCCGATGCCCGCTTGCCATTCGTGGAAGTGCGCCACCACACGCGGCGGCGTGTCGCTGTAGCCCTCCGCCGCTTTGCGGAACTGTTATATAATAGAATATTACTTTATTAATTACTCTAGAAAAACAAAAACTAATCAATCCCTCGGGAACCGTATATTTTTCCCGGATAAAAAGTAGCCTATGTGTTATTCCAGAATATAATCTATCTCTGTGCCAAATTTCATCCAGATTCGTTCAGCCGTTCTGCCGTGAAAAAGTAACAAACATCCATACATACTCAGAAACTTTTACATTTCTAATATTTATACATATACACTACCGTGTCAAAAGTAAATAGACACCTATAAATATATCATTTTTTTAAGAATACGCAATCGGGTGGTTCTGAAAAAATTATTGAAGTATATGGGGTCTAAACCTAATTTATTAACACTATACTCAGAATACCGTGTATATCTGGGACGTTAGAATTAACCGACTTTACTCGAGAGTGTATTGTCGGCCAATTTGGAGGTTGTAAGTCTGGGCTCTAAATCAGGACTAGATTAAATGTGCCTTTGTCAATTGTTAATTGGAAAATCATGCAACTCAAAAGAGATAGAAAGACAAGCATTTCGCCAAGATCAGGGAGATCTAAGACGTCTGCCAGGCAAAAGAGTGCGGTACTTCAAAAAATCTTGCTGTTTCTGCTTTGCTAATCTGTGGATGATGTGGCTATATCTTTTAATAGGTTGGGTCAAACTATTCAGAAGTATTTACACATTATTGATTTTTATAAAAAAGTAGCCAAAAAGAAACTTTTGTTGACAAAATTTCCAAAAATGCGAAGATATGATTAGTCACAGGATATGATATCTCCCGGGGGAGAAGCCAACTCCTACCGGGCGCGTCCCCAGGTGGCGGATAGGGGAATGCCACCCGCTTAGGGCGGCGGGTGGTACCGGAGAAATCCGGCGCGGACCAAATGGCTTGGGTGGGGCCGCTCGTCTAGGCCTCGAGCCGAAGACGTTGCGGCCACCGGTGGTGGGACCGCTTGGTCCCACAACCGGATGATGGGTGCCGGTTGCGGGACTGTGGTCGCAGGCCCGCATCCGGCGGAGGGGTAGGCCGCGGCGGGAGAGGAGTGCCGGTATTTCGGTGCGCCGTTCTCCCTACCTTCCGCGGCCTAGACGGGGCCGCCACCGTTTGATGGCGGACGCGGTGGGGCTGCAGGGGAAGAGGAGTGTCGGTGTTTCGTTGCCGCTCTCCCTGTCCTCTGCAGCCGATTGGAGGTGGCCCACTTCGGTGGGCGGAGATTCGGTTTAATGGGGCTGCTCCGGGTACCTCTCTGGTGTAGCAGAGTTGACTGTGGAGCAGCCCCATCGGTGTGGTGGTCAGCCGTTGGCAGACCTGCCGCCGGGGCGCCGTAGTAGTTATGCGCAAGCGGTCCTGCGGCGTCCCATTAAGGCGGAGGGGAGGGGAATGTCGGGTTTTAGTGGGTAGTACCGGCTCTTCTAGCCGGTGAGCCCCACATCATCACCTGGGGGATCAGGTGGTATGCGTAAATGCATTTCCCGACATAAAAAAAAAAAAAAAAGGATATGATATCTAAGGATGATGAACTTTTCGAGGCATGTTATTTTTTCAGACGAATCGGGATATTTTCAGTTTAGCAACAACGAAGTAAAATGGATGTGACGTCGTGCAGTAATGTAGTTGGAAGACCGATTTTTGCAACATACTGTAAAAAAGACCGAAATAAGTGTTATGGTTTGGGAGGCTAGTTGGTATGGTGGAAGAAGTGGCCTGGTTTTCTATGATGATAAAATTAATACGGAAAAATATACTAATATTCCAAAGTAAGATCCTTCTACCTATCCTATCTTTCAACGTATTAATTTGAATTGCAAAGAATACATTCTCATGGAAGATGGTGCACCATGTTATAGAGTTCAAAAAACGACTGTCTGGAACTCTCAAAAAGGTCTTACAATTCCACCATGGTCAAATCAATCACATGATATGAGTCCAATTAAGAAAGCTTGGCACCTTTTACAAAATAAATGTTGCGAAAAGGCCAGTGAAACCCTCAAATAAAAAGGAGTAGACATGATTTTAGTTAAAGAATGGGTTAATTTACAAACAAGAGCCGATCAATAAATTGATTAATACTATAAAAGCTAGAATAAAAGAGTTGTTTTATAATAAAGGAGGATCGACACGGTACTAATAATCATGCATTAGTTTTTTAATTAAATGTTTAGTTTGTGATGAAAAAAAGGATTTCATTAAAAATGCCCTGTCTATTTACTTTTGACACTGTAGTGTATACTCGTATTATGACACACACTAAGAGACATATGAAAGGATAAATGATTAAAAAAAACTTAAAATAGTTATTAAACAGTGTTATAGCATATATGCAAAACTTTGTGAGTGAATGTGTGTGAGAGTGAGTGAGTGAGTGGAAGAGTGTATGTGTGAATGTGTTTGTTAGTTCATCAAGCTCTAACGGCAAGTATGTGAGTGAATTATTAATTGAGTGTGTGTGTGTGTTTGTTGCTCCTTCATATTGAAAACGCTGAACGGATTTTAATGAAATTTAACACGTATTGGTTATAATTTTTATTGGTATATAATAGTAGGGGAGCCCAAGAGGGGATTTTCTGTAGTTACTCGAGCGCGGCAGATTAACATAAAAGAGATTACCTTGCACTCTATTGAGTACTTTCACCATAATATAAGTCTTCTATATAAAGGGGCGCGTCTAGGGAAGCCGATTAAAATATTTAAAAAATGTTTTGATAAGGTAGAAATACTTGAAACCGTCAGATTAAGGTGTGGTAGGCTAGTCACATCCTGAAAAGTGTCCATTTCAATAATCTGCCGATTTGCACAAGCCGAAGAGGCAAAAATCGACTATAAAGTTTATGATGATGATGATTATGATTATTTAGATATTAATGCAATAAACGACGCGCCCGAGCGAAGTAAAGGTATGTCTAGTTATATATCGGTTTATTTTTATAGTTATTTATCATTAAGGAAGCATTTTTATTCTAAGAAAAAAAAAACATAATTATTCGATTATAATCGAACCCGTACCCACCTCAGTTATGAACTGTGCCACCATAAAGCCCAATATCACCGCATCATTCGCCTCAACATCCAAGTGGGGTATACCTAAAGAACATGAATCCCATAACTCTTGTTTGAAGCTGTCCATCTGCCATGCGGCTGAGCCGATGTCGAACAGAATAATCTGTGGGTTGCCATCGACTAGCCATGTGCCTGTGTGTAGCTGGAAAACAAAAAAAATAGGTATTATATAAAGCTCTTTTTAATATTTTTAAATTGTAACAAGCGACTCACGCTTGCATTTTGACATTTAGTATAGATTTCTCAGAGATGAGATATTTTCCCGCTGTAAAAAGTATGCTATATGTTGATCCGGATAACCAACTATCATTGTATCAAATTTCATTAAAATCTGTCCATGTTTTCTCGTGATGCGTTCCTATATAGATAGACAGACAGATAGACAAAAATCTATGTACTATAGATTCGTCCTCCGTATCGATAATAATAACGATTTCAATAAGATTTTCCAAAAAATATTTAATGTACATATACGCCTCAGAATTTTATTATATATCTATAGATAGATGAAGATATTAAATGAGCAATTCTTGTATATATAAGTAGGTATAAATTTACTTCGTGTATCTCGCAAACGGCTGTAACGATTTGTATCTAATTTTGTATTTAGATAAGGTTTTGCTTTTTAAGTTTATCTATAAAGGTGTCCTTTATGAAAAAAAAATAAGTTTTATATATTATTTGAAAAACGCCAAACGAAGCTCAAGTATATCGCCAAGGTATTTACTATCATATATTAATTGTAATTAATAATGTGTTACACATTATATTTTAAATTTCCCACGCATTAGGCGGAAGCCTGTGCCCAGCAGTGGAACTTTAAAAAGAGATGAAGTTCAGACCTATAGTATAATAATCTTTTTTTTTTCTTTTTTTTTTGATATGTTGGGACATTACCACACAGCACCATCTAGTTTCATGATAAGCTACGAGGCTTGTGTTATGGATACCAGATAGTTGATACACTACACATATGACTGGAGTACAAACATTCGTGCTCATCACACAAATGAATGCCCCCAGCGGGACTCGAACCCGCGACCGCTGGCATAGCAAGTAGGGTCACTACAAATTGAGCCAAACGTGTCGTCCAATCATAAAATTATAAAAATCTTATATACCGACCAATCTCCCACACTTCTCCTCCATTCTAAAATTGACAAAATCGCCAAAATTATCATTGACATTAACAAGAGAATTGAATTAAATAACACGGTCTTAAATATTTAAGCCCATAAGTTTAGACCTGTTATATTTTTCATGTTTTTTTTATTTCAATTAATAGGTCATAGAAGTGCCTTAAGTACTAAGTTTTCTTTAGTTTGAACATTAATTATTATTTAATAAGTTCATATTAATATAGTGTATTAACTCACTTTATACCCCTGACTCCTCATAGCATTGACCGCAGTAGTGAGGGGGGAGTTCGGGGGAAATTCGGACTCCTCGACTTCTGTACGCGCACATTGCTCTTTATAGGGGCCTGTAAATTAAAAATAAAATATATGTATACAGGATAATCAATAGCTTTTGGGGGGAACGCCTGCAGTAGGTTCCTCCTGATAAACCGCTTCTTTGGTTTAGTGGTAGCCAAGATGTTTCCGAGTATTCATTGACAGAAAACCTCAATATTTACACTTAGCTCGCCCCGGGACTCGAACAAAGGACCTCCAGATCTATGACCGCAAGCCACTAGACCACCGAGATTTTAATATAATTAAACAATGTTTAATATAAATAAATTGCTATTGTAATTTTTGTATTCGGGGAATGATGGCACTGACATTATTACCTTCTGCTTAGAAAGTCCCTAAATAAAAAAAAAATGGCGATAATACTAAATTGAAACAGGCTATACCTTTAAAGTACATATTTTAACTTAAAAATAATACATTTTTTTATAATAATAATACAAGAACTAAAAAGTCGATATATTCCTTACCCAACAGACAGTAGTTTTCACCCATTTCTTCGGTAGACACATACGCTTTAGACCGTATCACTGTGTATATACCGCCAACTGAAAACAAAAACGAAATACAAATCATTTACTACGTGCAGTATTTTGTATGAGTCATACATAATACTGAATATAGGTATGTATTTTTTTTTAATTAAAAAATAAATTCAAAAAACAACTGGCGAAAAATGACAATGAGAAACGACAATCTCTGGATCTACTGAGCCGATTTAGATGGAATTTGGTAAGAAGAGAGTTTTTATCCCGAAATTAATCACTTAGGAGCATGAAAATGGGGAAAAAAAATTGATTTGGGAATCAATCTCCATAAGTCTATTAAATAAACCCAGGGGAATCAATCTCAATAAGTCTATTAAATAAACCCAGGGCAATTAAAAAATGGAAAAATAAAAGAAATGTGTAATGTTTTTTTTTTTTTAAATTGAAATAGGATCGGATCGACTTTGAAATTTACCATATTCAAATTAGGAATATCGTTAAATCAGACTACCCACACTCTGTAAATATCATGTCCTAAATTATACATATAAACTATACACGCGACTCCATAACCTCCTTCTTTTTCGTCGGTTACGACCACCAGTGTCTACCTATATCTTTATAGATTTAAACTAGCATTGCCCGCAGCTCCGCCCGCGTTCTGATGACCTAAAACCAAATTCTTAGCTTTTACATATTTGTTGGGTAAAGATAGAAAGGGTGGATGGACTACCTGGTTCGCCGTTGTCCCGCGTGGGTTCTTAAGTCGCGTTTTGTACACCAATCACTTTCACACAACACCGGGTGATTTGCTTAAAGTTTGTAATTGTAAAATAAGATAGTTTATTGCGTTTCGCACGATAACTTTGACGCGTAGTCTTAAACTTGATGGGGAGAATGCGGAGCTCGTCCCATCGCCGTACGCGGCCGTTGAAGCTTTTTTGAGTACTACCTCCAGGTAAAGGAATATCGAGGGAATTTAGGATGTGACGGTAGGAAGATATGTATAATGATGTCAAGTAAAGAATGTGTACCTAACATACCGCCCCCCAAAGAGCGGCTTAGCTCTTTCATTTGAACGAACCCCTTTGAAATTTGCTAAAAGGTTGACGTAAACAAAAGAGTAAAAAAAAATATGTTGCTTACTAGAACTAAAGCTATTACTACTACCTAAACAAAAAAAAAATAAGTATTGTTTTTATTAATTGAAAGATGGCAGCAAAGGGCAAAGCTTGACTACTGGTCTAAGTAGAGTGCCAGTAGAAGTTTTTAACTCTACGACGCGAACAGTGCCGTCAGAACCCGGGCAAATGCGAGTCACACGAGCTTTCTTCCAGTGAAGCGGTGGCAAGTTGGGATCCTTGATAAGAACTAAATCACCAACTTGAAAATTTGAAATCTTGGCAAGCCATTTAGATCGCTGCTGTAGAGTATGTAGGTACTCAGCCTGCCAACGCCTCCAGAAGTGCTGAGTAATCTGGCGCAAAAGCTGCCATCGTTTGAGAGTATTAAAATTTATCTGCTCCAAGTCTTGCTCAGGCAAAGCCAATAGCGGCTGACCGATGATGAAGTGGCCGGGCGTTAAGACTTCTAGATCGTTAGGATCGCTACTTAGGGGATATAACGGTCGAGAATTCAACGCGGCTTCTATTTTGCTAAAAACAGTGATGAGCTCTTCAAAGAGAAGTGAGCGATCGCCTATAACACGAAGAAGAATAAGTTTTGCAGATTTAATCGCGCTCTCCCATAAACCGCCCATATGTGGACTGGCAGGAGGATTAAAATGCCATACAATTTGTCGACTGGCTAATGAATGTTTTATGTCATCATGCGAGTTTTTGAGTAATTGTGTAACTTCTTTCAAGTAGTTGTTAGCTCCAACAAAGTTGGTACCACAGTCACTGTAAACATCGGTGGGAAGACCCCTTCGCGATACGAAGCGATCAAAGCAAGCTAAAAAGGCGTCTGTCGACAGCTCGGAAACCAGTTCCAAGTGGACAGCTTTGGTGGTGAAACAAATCCATAAACATAAATATGCCTTAACAGATCGAGCGTTGCGCAGTCGCGAGGTTTTCAGAAGAAAAGGACCTGCAAAATCCACTCCAACTCTTTGAAAGGGTCTGCAAGATGTGACTCGAGAAGGAGGTAAATCACTCATGAAAGGTTCAGTCGCCTTGGGACGTAATCTATAGCAATGTTGACATTGAAATATTTGCCGACGGATTGCACGGCGTGCTGATAAAATCCAAAATTTACGTTGCAGTAGATTTAAAAGAGTATTGACACCAGGGTGTAGGAATGCCCGGTGATAATGATCAATGAGCAAGCGAGTAACGTGATGTGCCTTCGGAAGCAAAAGTGGATGTTTTGCGTTAAATGATAAAGATGAGTTTACAATCCGACCACCTACTCTCAGCAAATTTTGTGAGTCAAGAAATGGATTAAGACGTCGAAGGCTATCTTTGAGAGGTTTCCCATTACGCAACAACGAAATTGTTGAAGAAAATTCTTCCGACTGTACAGTTGATATAATGGTATTCAAACTATCGTTCAATTCGGAAACAGATAGTGATCCCGTGTGTCGCTTAGTTGGATTGCGTGAATTATGCAAAAATCGCTTACACCAAGCTACAACAGCCTGTAGCTTGCGAAGGGAACTGAATTTGTGCAAGAAAGGTAAATCGACGCTAACCTTAGCAATGTGTGATATAGGGGATGGTAATTTCAGACCAGGTAAATTCGCTTGGCTCAACATAGGTGTGTCTCCAGGCCATGTCGAAGAATCACCTTCAAGCCAAGGTGGAGACCACCACAAGATGGTTTTAGCTAGTTCAGAGGGGTAGAGACCTCGACTAGCGGCATCAGCAGGATTTAGTGATGATGGAACGTATCTCCAAATAGCTCTTGGTATTAGAGCTTGAATTTGGGACACTCGATTTCCTTCAAACGTTTGTAAAGTATGAGGAGAAGATTTAAGCCATGTGAGCACGATGCTGGAATCACACCAGGCCACTGTGCTGCTGATTTTAATTTTATGTTTTAGAGTTTTGATAATATGCTCAAGTAAGCGAGCGAGAAGATGTGCGCCGCACAATTCCAATTTGGGAATCGTGAGCTTTTGCTTGAGAGGAGCAACTCGAGACTTCGCCAACATTAGTTGGGCCGAAGTTTTACCATAAGAATTTTTGACGCGCAGGTAGACGCAAGCTGCGTACCCGCGTTCGGAAGCATCACTGAAACCGTGGAGTTCACAATCGCTTAGTTGATCAGTGAGTACCCAGCGTGGAATAACAATTTTGTTAAGATGATGAAAATTTGACATAAAAGATAGCCAAGACTTTTGAATATCAGAAGGTAGAGAATCGTCCCAACCACATTTGAGAACCCAGAGCCTCTGCATAACATGTTTCGCATAGAAGGTTACAGGTGCTAGAAAACCGCAAGGGTCATAGAGTCGGGCTATATTAGAAAGTATGCCTCGCATGGTGAGTGTATTGTTCATATCTGCAACCCTATAAATAAAACTATCATTAGAAGCACTCCAGGCCATGCCTAAGACTTTAAATATGTTATCGCAGTCGTGTTCAAACAGATAGGGCTGCTCGCAATGATCAGCAGGAAAGTCGCTTATGAATTCCTTACAGTTACTCGACCACTTACGCAAGAGAAAACCGCCCTGTGATAGGATACTGACCAGTACCTGCTGTAATTCCCTAGCAGATTCCACGGAATCACACCCGCTGACGATATCATCGACGAAAGTGTCGTTTAGCAGCACTTGCGAAGCTTCTGGATGTTGATTGGAATTAAGAGAAGCAAGCTCGTGTATAACACGGATTGCTTGGAAGGCAGAGCTTGAAACACCGTAGGTGACAGTGGTAAGCTCGTATTCCTTAAGAGGTTGGTCAGGAGATTCGCGCCAGAATATGGTTTGATATTTGCAGTCAGCATCGTCCATGCGCACCTGACGGTACATTTGTTTGATGTCACAGGTGAAGACGATCTTGTGAATCCTGAAGCGCATAATAATATCTTCAATATTTCTTTGCAATTTAGGCCCTGTCATTAGGACCTGATTTAACGAAACACCGGTTGAGCTGGAAGCCGAAGCGTCAAAAACTGCACGAAGCTTAGTCGTGCTACTAGATTCGCGCAGAACACCATGATGCGGAATGTAGTATCGCTCACTTGCGTCAGAGCAAGAAGCTTCACGCATATGACCCGAACTAAGATAGTCTCGCATAAACTCTACATAGAGTTCACGCAAGCGCGGATCCCTGATAAGCTTACGTTCCAAATTGTAGAAGCGTTTCAGGGCATTGATACGTGTGTCCCCCAAAGGCTTGTGATTCACCTTGAAGGGAAGACGAACTTGAAAACGACCAGTGTCGTCTCTACGATGTGTTTCGCAAAAGTGTTTTTCGCATAGAACATTCTCAGGATCTTGAATAGGTTGACTGGAGAACTCTTCTGCTTCCCAGAACCTTGTAAGTGCAAGATTGAGGTCAAATGTGCAGGCCATCGACATCACATCTTGAACGTGTGACGATGCTGCGGGAGCTTTGCCCATAATTACCCATCCAAAGATAGAAGAGTAGGCAGTAGGCATGTTGTCACCTAGACTGAACCTTCTACCATCAAGGATCTGTTCGTACAAGTCAATGCCCAAAAGCAGGTCGACTTGTCCAGGAATGATAAAACTTTTGTCTGCTAATACTAAATTGCTACATAGATTTAAAACTGATTTGTTAACTTGAACTGATGGCAGATTATTTGTAATGCGCCTCAAAACAATAAAATCGGAAGTTAATGTTTTAGAAGCATTTATCAGAGGCTTAATATGACATGTTACCCTGCCTAGAGTTTGCTGAGGGGATGCTGCACCTAAACCAAAAATTGATGAAGATTGAGTTCGATGAAGTTTCAATTTTTGAGCTAAATTTTCTGTAATAATAGACACCTGAGAGCCACAATCAATTAATGCGCGAGCAATGTGAGTATAACCATTTACATCTAAAATTCCTACGAGGGCTGTACCAAGAAGCATAGTGGATGCACCATCGGCACCATGTAAAGTTTGAAGTTGGACTGCGGAACTAGTAGTCGACACAGCAGCTTCATTGCTATTAGGAGCTGATGCATGCTGAGTATAATTATTGTCAGCTGTGGCCTTTGAAATGTGCAATTTTGTGTGATGATGGCCATGACATATCTGACATACACTTCTAGAAGTACATTTTGAAACATGATGTGGTCTCAAGCAGTTAAAGCAAAGTTTATGTAGAATAACAAAAGATTTTCTTTGTTCCTGAGTCATAGCGTTAAATTTTAAACAGTTATATATGCTGTGCTTACTCTGGCAACAAGGGCAAGAATAATTTGCAATATAATTTAATTTAGGTTTCTCTTCAATAATATTTAATGAGTTATGTGTATTAGTTTTTGTATGAGAAGTTGAACCTGAAATGTTTTCTAATATTCTCAATTGAATTTCTAAAAATTGTATAAAATCATCAAATGTGGGAATATTTATGGGATTAATTTGTGACTCAAATTTACTTCTAAATTCAATAGAAATCTTTCTTAGTAATATATGTACTAATAAGAAACTCCATGACTTTACATTAAACTCTAAAGCAGTTAAAGCATTTGTATTTTCTTTAATAGTGTTTAAAAATTTGTTTAAAGACTTAAAATGTATTTGTGTAAGGTTAGGTAAGTTAAGAATAGACTCAACATACTTGTCCGCTATGACTCTTTTGTTTTCATATCGCTCAGTCAACAATTTGTATGCAATATTATAGTTTTCATTAGATATAATTAAGTTTTTGATAAGAGATAAAGGCTCCTTGTCTAATACACTCAGTAAATAATGCATTTTTTCAATTTCACTTAACTTTTTGTTATTATGAATTAAACTGTTGAAAATAGAAATAAAATTTGGCCATTCAATATGAGCACCTGAGAATCTAGTTAATGATATTTTAGGTAAATGAAACTCGCAGCCAGGCACTGGAATTACTTGTGTATCACAATTTGCACTAGATTTTGACTCGAATAAAGTAGTATGATACACTTGTATTGAGTAAAACATGTCATTTGAAATATTATAATTCTTTTCAATTTCGCTACGCTTATCTTCGCCAAAAGAATCGATATTTGCTATTAAAAATGAGAAAGACTCCTCCATTTGCTGCCGGTATCTTTCTATATCCTTAAACCGTACAAGAAACTGTTGCTTTTCCTTCATGTTTACAGAAGGTTTTTTAATGATGTTACCACCCAAATCATATAACTGCTTTATATGATTTAGTGCTATTTCATATTTTACTAAATGCATTTTGAGGTCAGACATCGTCGATCGTTATATATTTTAATTACGTATTGTACAAATTACTAATATATTATGATAGTATGCAAAATGTAAACAAATGTGACAATTTGACAAATGACAAGTAACAAGTGACAAATGACAAGACACTATTTGACATTGACGGTTGACCGATTCGCAATCCGGAATGAAACAGTGATGCCAATATGAAATTGTTAATTTTACGTATGCAATATGGCGTCAAGCGAAATGTAAAAATTAGATGTATATTATTTGTAGGTATATATGTAATGTTTTTTGATGGAAATACGGATGATTTATTTAAGATGAGGTTTGATTACTAAAGGATATCCGGCTCGAAGGACCATAAAAGGGTGTTGGGTAAAGATAGAAAGGGTGGATGGACTACCTGGTTCGCCGTTGTCCCGCGTGGGTTCTTAAGTCGCGTTTTGTACACCAATCACTTTCACACAACACCGGGTGATTTGCTTAAAGTTTGTAATTGTAAAATAAGATAGTTTATTGCGTTTCGCACGATAACTTTGACGCGTAGTCTTAAACTTGATGGGGAGAATGCGGAGCTCGTCCCATCGCCGTACGCGGCCGTTGAAGCTTTTTTGAGTACTACCTCCAGGTAAAGGAATATCGAGGGAATTTAGGATGTGACGGTAGGAAGATATGTATAATGATGTCAAGTAAAGAATGTGTACCTAACAATATTAGTATACTCTTACATTGCAGTTTTTGTATTTTTTCTCAGAAATGAGATAAAAAGTATTCTATATGTTGACCCGGATAACCAGCTACCGTCATAACGAATTTCATCAAAATCCCTCCAGTGGTTTTTCCGTGATGCGGTAACAGACAGACAGACAAAAATTCTAAAAACTGTAGATTCTCGGCCTCTGTATCGATAATAATGTCTATTTCAATAAGATTTTCCAAAAAAATATTTAATGTACAGATTCGGCTTAGTTACAATTTTATTATATGTTTAGATTATAAAAGAACTAATAATCGTCCAGAACTCGATACTCTGATTATTCTTAGAATTTAATAACAGAAAACCCTAATAACTTAGCCCGTAACTCTAACCCAGGACCTTCGGATCTGCAGCCGTCCATGCCAGCCACTAGACCAGCGAGACAGTTAACAAACTAAAACAACACAGTACAGAATACTGCTAAATTCGTCTTCTAAGTTTTAGAACAAGTTTATCTAGTTTACGCTCCTGCATGCTCTGAATATGCACAATGCCTTTGTATGAAACTCGTCTCGGCCACTAATGTGATTCAATTATTGCAAAATGCAACTTATTGCTATATAAATCAAATATATTTTGAAGTTGCATTGTAGATCGTGACCAAAACAATTGGATATTTTAAAGAAGTAAATAATTTGTAGGTAAAATCTATCTATACATATAATAAAATTGTAACTAAGCCGAATCTATACATTAGATATTTTTCGGAAAATCTTATTGAAATAAACAATACTATCGATACAGAGGTCGAATCTATAGTTTTTAAAAAAATTGTCTGTCTGTCTGTATGTTACCGCATCACAAAAAAACCACTGAAGGGATTTTGATGAATTTTGTTATGGTGATAGCTGGTTATCCGGATCAACATATAGAATACTTTTTATCGCGGAAAAATATCTCATTTTTGAGAAAAAATACAAAAACTGTAATGTAAGAGTATACTAATATGTAAAACCTAAGAATTAGGTTTTCGGTCATTTGAACACGGGCGGAGCCGCGGGCAATGCTAGTTTGTAAATAACCTAACGTTTCTTTAAAAATTTGTATGTGTATCTCGTAAAGTACACTTAAAAAAAAAAATCCATTTAAAACATACATAGTCGACGCATGTAGACCTAGGGACCCACCCAGATGAAGCGAGAGTTGATCGCTAGTTAACAATAATAATATAATAATAATAAATTTTATTTCAAGTAACTTAGACTCATATTTTGTTAGTATACAAAGGGCTTATATTCTATGTTAGTATACATTTTAGATACATATACTTTTACATATATTTAAAAATAATCGTTTTTCTACATAATTGTATTTACGTGTGAAATATAACTGCGAGAACAATCTTTTGCTGTGTATTTACGATGGTTATAAATTGTTCAATTTACAATCTACACCACTATTATAAAGAGGGGAGATTTGTATTTTTGTATGTTTGTAACGAATAAACTCAAACACTACTGGACCGATTTAGATGAAATTTGGTAGGAATATAGTTTGAGACCCTGTGTAGGACATAGGATTTTTTTATTCCGGAAATCATTACTTAAGGGGATGAAAAATTGTATGGGAAATCAAGCTAGGGACGAAACCGAGCGAAGCGAGGCTGAGTCGCTAGTCTATACTAATATTATAAAGAGGTAAAGTTAGTGAGTTTGTGACGTTGTAGGGATCTCTGGATGTAATGAAGTTGAACCGATTTAGATGAAATTTGGTAAGAAGATAGTCTGAGACCCTGGGAAGGATACTGTTTATCTCGGAAATCATCCCTTAAAGGGGTGAAAATGGGGATGAAAGTTTGTATGGCGAATCAAGCTAGGGACGAACACGAGCGAAGCTAGGGTGAGTCGCTAGTCATTGATAAAAGAAAACTGCCACAGTTACTCCCGCATACTTATAGTTTTAAGAAATTCTCAATGCTGAGCACGGACCCACCCTAGTGCGAGAGGGTCAGGCCATAACTCACCACGCTGACCAAATGCAGGTTGGCAGACTTTACGTGTCCTTCGAAAACTTACAAGGTTCATGCAGACATGCAAGTTTCCTCAAAATACTTTCCTACAGCGTAAGTTGTCATCATGTTGTTTATTTTTTTTAATTGAAAGGTACTTTAATGTAATTTCTGTTTTTCAAATTAATGTATAATTTTGTGAATAGGCACCGTCTGTAACAACTAGGTACACATATAATAGCTAACTTTTGATACCGTGACACGACAAAAAACCTGAATCTCATGATATATGGTCATAGATAGATAGATAAAAAAGAAAGAAAAATCACAGGGAAAACCGCGAAAAAATACTTTTATATAAAAATTTAAATAAAATTGTCTTTTCGGGCTTTTTTCGCGGATTTATTTAGATTTTTAGTTTCAGACGTTTCGAATGCTTTACAGCAATCATGTTGACGGGAGAGACTAAGGTTTTAGATACCCCAAAAGCATTATATAGTTGTTACACACAGCCTACACACAAAATAATAAATTAATTCAAAAAATGTTACCAAAGTACCTTGAAATATATGTTAAGTAATTTAAATTTAATTTTTCAATTTTAAAATTAATCAAAAAATTAATGGATGGGCAGGTGGTAAATCCGACAAGATAGTTTTATTTAAAATGTCAAATAATCACGTAAATCTAAGAAAATCTAATAATATCTCATGTCACGGTGTTTGTGGTCGCACTCCTCCAAAACGGCTCGACCGATTTTAATGTTTTTATGTATATTTGGTAGGCATGACAATAGGTCGTAAAGTATTATTCACCCTCCTACCCCCACCCCTCGTTTTTTAAGTAACTAGAGGCAAACCAGAGCGGAGCGAGGGTGAATCGCTATTCTTTTATATAAAACGTCAAATATTCGCGTATATCTTAGAAACTTACCTTTATTAGCGGCTTCCCAAGCTGTCTCAAAGGTCCACCTGTTCTCCTCACACGCGGCGTGTCCTTTGTCCATGTAAGACAACAAATCGTTAGTCGACTCCGCGCGGTAGAACCGCTTTGTTGATCTGTCGCGAGACATGTTCACCTGAAAACAAAATTCAATTCAATTGGATGAGTTAAAATGATATAAGATGAGTAAGAGAGTTAATTCTGTCTAGATAGGTCCGGTTTTATATTAACCACCGTATTTACCTTTGAACGCCTTAAAGACTTTTTTTAAATAAATAAACCATTTATTCCTCCTATTCGATATAATTAAAACAAAAACTATTCATTGGCAAGCGCATCTATTGAATACGGATGAACCGATTTAGCTAATGTCGTTTTTAGAAAGATTTTATGGTTCGAAAAAGGGAAAAATATGCAAAATATGTTGTTGTTGTAGTTGTTGTATTCAGTACTTTTTTTAATGTCCCACTGCTGGTCGTGGGCCTCCCTTCAATACGAGGGGTTCAGGCCATAGTCCACTACGCTGGCCAAGTGCGGGTTGGCGGACTTCACATGTCTAACACAAGCTACTATTTATTATTATAATTATATTAAATAAAATCGTTTATTCGAAAATATTACATATATTATCAATTCTCCTTTCCCTTAGTTTATTTATGAATAATTGCTTCATTACTAAAGGTCATAGCATGTTAGATAGCCTATACCCTTACTCAATAAATCTATACATATAATAAAATTGTAACTAAGCCGAATCTGTACATTAAATATTTTTTGGAAAATCTTATTGTAATAGATATTATTATTGATACAGAGGCCGAAGCTATAGTTTTTAGAATTTTTGTCTGTTTGTCTGTTACCGCATCACAGAAAAACCACTAGAGGGATTGTCAATATATAAAATACTTTATAACGCGGGAAAATGTTTTATTTCTGAGAAAAAATACAAAAACTGCAATGTAAAGGTATACTAATATTATGTAAATCCTAAGAATTTGGTTTTTGGTCATCTGAACGCGGGCGGAGCCGCGGGCAATGCTAGCTAGTAGGCTATAAAATGCAAAAAGAATATTCATCATAACACTAAAGTAAATTATCGTCATTATTGTCACTATATATATTTAAAATTCCACCGCGTTTGTCCTTCTATCTGTCTGTCTGAACGTGATAAAACTCAAAAACTACCGAACGGTTTTCATACGGTTTTCACCAATAGATAGAGTCATTCATGAAGAAGGTTTAGATGTATAATTCATTAAAGTTTTGTGTAAATTGCTTGAAATATGACGATGATTGTTGAAGATATCCGAAAAAATCATGCCGACTGGAAGATTTATTGGCGTGCGCCGCGTAAACTAATAAAGTTATATGAAAACAATGTATTACAAAATTGTTCCTCTTAAAAAGATCTTCCTATTAAACTGTTGCAACGCTATGTGCACGTATATAGAGACGCACCCGAGCGAAGTGAGGGTACGTCACTAGTATACACTAATTGGTATCTAAATTGTCATCCAAATTTTTTTTTTAATAAAAAAAAGCTAAAAACGCAAAAGTTGATCTTATATAAATTAAAAAAAATATCCACCACAACTTGTACATATGTATGTAGGTGGTTAAAGACATTTTGAAGATTACCTAATACCTTTCTTAGTTACAAAAAAAAACCTATACACAATTGGTGAAGATACGCGAGATTGAATACATCCTTTTTGAAATCAGTAAAAAAAATAATTTCATTATCAATATTCGCATCTTCGAGGCGAAATTCGTATGAAAGATTCTCGAGGATAAAACGCCACACCCCCACGATATCCAATCCAATAATAAACAAGTCCACACGTCATAATTACGTAAGGATCTGGCATCAAGTGCAGCCGCGTCACGCTAATAATGTCAAACATCGTAAACAAGGTATTTATCGTGTATAATTTTAGATAATACTTAGGTAAAGCAGTCTTGACACTCGATAGAATTTATTTATTTTGCTTTATCGAGCGCTGATAAGAATTAAGAGACCGTGAGACCGCTAAGATTCGGATACGGAGGAGCGGGATGACAAGATGACATGTTTGTTCTATCGTGAGTGAGAAGTATAGAGCGCTAGCTAGATGCTCAACGTATTTAAGCGTCAAAGCAGTTTCTAATCTACGAGTATATTCTATACTATGATGATGTTCTCCTAGCCGATTCCACTATACAAATAATAAAATTGTAACTAAGCCGAATCTGTACGTTAAATATTTTTTCGAAAATCCTATAAAAGTAGTCATTATTATCGATATAGAGGACGAATCTATAGTTTTTAGAATTTTTGTCTGCCTGTCTATGACCGCATCACGAGAAAACCACTGGACAGATTTTGATGAAATTTGTTATGTTACCTGACCTATTATATGATATTGACCCGAATAATCATTCGGGTCAATATATAAGATACTTTTTATTGCGGGAAAATATCTCATCTCTGAGAAATCTATACTAAACGTTAAAATATAACAGGACGAAGTTGATCTCTTGCTCTGTGAAAGACAAAAATAAATCTATCCTACGTGAAACCTTACGTATATCGGGGATGAAAAGTAACTTATGTACTATTCCAGTCTATAATCTATGTCTGCGCCAAATTTCATCAAGATCCGTTCAGCCGATCTGGCGTGATTGAGCAACAGACATAAATCCAAACTCTCACATATATAACATTAAAATATTAATTATAATGAGATGGGATTTATCATTACGCTACAAACCTCAAGGGGAGAAAAGATGGACTACGCGAATGAAACGGCCAACAAAAGTCGCTTTATTCATATATTACTTATGCTCGAAATACATTTATTGTATAATTCGTCGATACGTTTGGCTTAGTTTGTAGTGACCCTACTTTCTGTGCTAGCGGTCGCATGTTCGAGTCCCGCTGGTGGCATTCATTTGTGTGATGAGCATGAATGCTTGTACTCCAGTCATGGGTGTTTGTTTATATTTATAATATGTATGTATTTAAAGTTATATATGTGTAGTGTGTCAAATATCTGGTATCCGTAACACAAGCCTCGTAACTTACCATGGAACTAGATGGTTCTGTGTGTTAATGTCCCAAGAAAAAAAAAATACGTCGTGTTATAATAATAATATCCTCTTGACCAATGTAAAGTTAAGGCAGATAATCTCACTGAGATTGGCCAACTGCGCAGGACATATTATAATACAGACGTGTGCGCAGAAATAACTGCATTCTTTATTCCTTTAGTTAATTCCCATATTCCGTATCCCGGAAGGACGACAGTTTCACGCTAGCGAGATATTACGATATATATACCTAATACTAGCGACTTTTGATTCCCCATACAAAGGTTCATGCCTATTTTCGCCCCCTTAAGGGATGATTTCCGGGATAAAAAGTATCCTATGTCCCTCCCAGGGTCTCAAACTATCTTCTTACCAAATTTCATCTTAATCGGTTCAGTAGATCCAGAGATTACCTCCTACAACGTCACAAGATCACAATTCACAAACTTTACCTCTTTATAATATTAGTATAGACTAGCTAAATAACCCTCGCTTCGCTCGAGTTCGTTTCTAGGTTTAATAATTAGTATACCTAGATCTTTCAGAGACGAAATATTTTCTAAAAAGTATTGTAAATGTGGACCAGAACAACCAGCTATCACCATACCAAATTTTATCAAAATCCGTCCAGTGGTTTTATCGTGATGCGGTCAGACAGACAGACAGGCAAAAAATCTAAAAACTATAGATTCGGCCTCTGTATAGATAATAATGACTATTTCAATTAGATTTTCCAAAAATATTTAATGTACACATTCGACTCACAATCAGTTAAACTTTGATTATAATATGTATAGATTGTGTGCGTATAACTAAAAACTTCTTTTGCTCTGCCTTGATAATATTAAACCGCCAACTTCCCGACCTGGGACTTGAACCTAGGGCCTCTATACTTACATACATAGCCACTAGAACAGTGCCTTTAATGTTAATTAATTAAAAAAGAATCATGAAAAACATGATCACAATTGATAAAGGCATCGAGTAACTTCCACAAAAAAACAAACACTCGAGTAGAATACGTCTTCCATTTTAAAGTCGGTCAAACATAAAATAACAATACGTGTCTTATTAAAATGCTACCTTTTTTGCCGACGGTGTGAATAATCTATACATATAATAAAATTGTAACTAAGCCGAATCTGCACATTAAATATTTTTTGGAAAATCTTATTGAAATAAACATTATTATCGATACCGAGGCCGAATCTGTAGTTTTTAGAATTTTTATCTGTCTGTCTGTCCGTTACCGCATCACAGAAAAACCACTGGAGGGATTTTGATGAAGTTTGCTGGTTATCTGGGTCAACATATAGGATACTTTTTACCGCTGGAAAATATCTTATTTTTGAGAAATACAAAAACTGCATTGTAAGAGTATACTAATATGTAAAACCTAAGAATTTGGTTTTTAGTCATCTGAACGCGGGCGGAGCCGCGGGCAATGCTAGTGCTTACACAATATTGCAGCTTATTCATCATTTCACGCATACAGTCTGGACGCGAGCCAGCGAACTTGACGTTTTGTTGTATAAATAATTTTGGGGGACAATGTTATAGCAAACAAATTTCCTATCACGTGTTTCTTTATTTATTTATACCTATCTAGTATTAACGTGGGCGCCGAGATGGGAGTGCAAGGGGGTGCCTTGCACAAGGGTGTATACATATTAAGTAAAATTCTAACTTAGTCGAATCTGTACATTAAATATTTTTGGAAAATATTATTGAAATAGTCATTTTCGTCGATAGCGGCCGAATCTATAGTTATTAGAATTTCTGTCTGTCTATCTGGGAACGCATCACGAGAAAACCACTGTACAGATTTTGATGAAATTTGGTATGATGATAGTTGGGTATTCGGGTCAACATATAGGATACTTTTTACTGCGGGAAAATATCTCATCTCTGAGAAATCTATACTAAACGTTAAAATGTAAAATAATAATATATAGAAATAGGTTAAAAAATATTTAAATAATAAAATGCCTGTTTAAATTTAGATATCTGTGAAAAAAATATAAATTGTGTGTATAAAAATTAAAAAAAAAAATACTGTGT